ATTTACTCTTATTTGTGCATAACAACTTCTATAACTATGTATATTATTCTAATTTTTACTTCGTTTTTTCCTGAATACTATATCGACGAACGAAGAAGAGAAGCAAAAGAAGAATAAAGAAATTAGAGCGGTAAAATCCAAAGGAAGAGTGAAGTGAGAGAACGGAAGATATAACCATTTATCTTCTACGAAGTCAAAGCCCCTGAGAAATGCTTTCTACATCATTCAAAAGAGACAGATGAATGATGGCAGGTTGATACCTGATGCGAACGTACCTTATTATAATGAGGATGAATTTGATTCATCCTTTTCGCTGTATTGTTTAGAATCATGAGCAGCGTCAGAAATTTTTGCAGATTAGTTATGATAGGGAAACTTTTTGTGAATAAGGTTCATGATGATCAATATGGTCAAAAGTCACATGACTGCGGTTAATAGTTATAACTATAGTTGATAATTATAAATTTCGTTGATAAGTATAAGAACTTTAACTATAGCTCGAATTAGTCTATTATGAATCCTAACAAAACATAGGTTTCATTCGAAACTATTTATATCTGATAATTGTATTTTCAATAGAAATGATTGCAATTTTCGCATTTCTTTCGTAACTGTTAACGTAGGTTAAAAAACATTACTATTACATAGCAAAAAGTATATTGTCATTTTCATACTCGACGTATAAATATGAGAAAATTTTCTTTGCAGATGAATACATAAAAACATTACTGAAAGAAAATTTCATAAATGATGGCTCTCTGAAATAATAACATTGTAAATATGTCTGTTTTTCATCTGTTCTATCAAACATGCCAATCATTTCAAAATGACTGACAATTTCAACTTAATCTAATTTATTCAAAAAAATTAAAAAGTTAATTGACTAGGAGTCGTTACTAGTAAGAACTACGATTGAGAGTTATAATTGCAGTTAAGACTTATAACTCAATAAATTTCACCGAAAACTTCATCAGTTATAATTCGACAATTTTTAACTCTCATACCATAAAATTCTATATATTAATGTACAACAATGGAATTTACGATAACTAATACTGAAATGAATCTGTGTTGACGGGTAGAATTTTCTTGTTTTATGTGGTATGAATATTAATTCATGCAAGAACTTGGTTGCTTCTCTATAATATTTCAATATGGCATTACTTATTTCTTGTTAAAAATGGGTTCGCTTTCATATGACTATACAACACTGAGTAAAATAACTTGTTCCTTAGGTCAAATTTTTTCATAATTGTTAATATTCAGGTACCTGTTTTTTGAAAAATTATTGAACGATGATTATATGTCATAGTGTTGAACGTATTTCTGCTGTAGGTAGAGAGTTGATTGTTGAAAAAGATTGCCGTCTGAAAGAAAGTCTCTCAATTCAAATTTTATATTTTGGAAAAAGCTTTTTCCGTATTCATGCACACTTGTAATAGTTGCTTCGATTTTTTTTATCACTCTAACGTTGTCTTTGCATGTACGTACGAGACTATGCATCTATTGATACGCAATTTTTCTAAAAAAACATTTGTTTGTTCTCGAATGCGAAAATATTAAGGGTGCGCACATGCAAACTACTGTGCCTGTACACGATATTATTATATATTCTCTAATATGTTCACATGCACGCTATGCCATAACTATTCGTGCATGCAAATGCAACAATAAACTTAACCGATCACGCCAGAGATCCGCTAGTCAGCTTCACACCAAAGCTCACGTTGAAGTGCGTCGCACACCTCTTTCGAGTTCTGCTCTATGAACACATTTCTATATAGTTAATTCATATCTTCAGTGTTCTTTCAAAATGTTCCAAACCATGGGATAGTGCAGCATACAGTCTGAACAAGTTTGTTCAACTTTGCATCAGCAGGCACTTGAGCACGAGGCTAACTTGTGGATCTCTAGCAGGGTTGCCAGATCAAAAATTTAAAAATCAGAAATTCCGACTATCAAAATCAGAAAATATTCAGAATTTTTTTTCGAAAATCAGAAAATAATCAGAAAGGCTAATATATTGAAATTGGCACTTATTATTTTACCAAACTATTACAAAATGCTTTAGTTGTAATTTGTTCATCTATTCTTCATTTATTTTCGAAGATATTTAACATAAAGAAACAATAATAATAAGAATATGTAGTTCACCGTATATCACACAAACTAGCAAAAGACATCTAGTATCAGACTTTTTACTAAACTCAAAACGTTTTTCACATAAAATGAGCAAAAACAAACCGAGAAATACACTATATACATCAAGAGATATTTAAAAAAACGACTCATTCAATATGAGTTCCATACTATTGATATTTTTCATTTTTCGAATTTGCTGCAATAAATGTTTATCAGTTGAAATATGTTTTTAGAACTGTTCACAAGAATAATTAGCATTCATTCTTATCTTAAGTTCAGCACTAACTAGTTTTATGTCCATGCAATTACGATAATCAGACCATACATGTTTCATATGGCTAACGATTATGATCGTAATCAATTTGAGAAAAGTCTTCATTCAGAAATAGAATTTGGACAAATATCGCAGCGAAACAGTAAAACCAGAAAAATCGAAAAAAACCTGAAAAATCAGAAAAATCAGAAGGTCAGAATAAAATCAGAAAAAGTTTTGAAATTCAGAAGCTTTCCTGCCATTTCAGAAGATCTGGCAACCCTGATCTCTAGTATACTTGTATTGTTCATAATCACGAATGACTGAGGAAACGTAAGAACATAACAATGTTAAATTTCATAAGATGTCAGTATCTCAAAAAATTTGTTCAATTTTCAACTGCAGGCACCGTACTTTACCTTTCAAAAATTCAACTAAAAATTTGACACTACAAACATTGAGATTATACTTTCTTAATTTTTCTTCTCTTAAATGTCCATTAAACTGAAATTTATTCATTCATTCTCTTTTTTCTGAAATCATATTCATCACAGCAAAAAGGCTTCATGAAAACCTATAAAATTCTACCTCAAGCAAAGATAAAAATAATATGATATTCTGGGACGTATTTATTAGGCATATGGAAGTCAAACCATTAAATAAATTAGAATAGATGTTATCATGCCTTATAACCAAACGATTTCCGACATGACTAATTACACGGAGGTAAAACTTATAATGCTAATATGAGATTTTAATAAAAGCTAGACTATGACAGAAAAAATAGCAAGTTTGTGTATAGTAATGTGTCGTTTCTTCCTTTACTCATTATCATAGGTGAAAATAGAAAAAAAAATGCTTGAATTCATAGACAAAATAAAGCATGATTGCTCTGTTCGTAGAGATGCTAATTTAGTAAATAGTAGCAAAGTCTTCTATTCGTTTAAATAATCGGTTATGCATCTCGGATGAGACATTTTCATTCGATCTATTTGAGTTTTTTGAATGCTCCTAGAAACATTGTTTCGAAACAAAAAGATTCGATCCAGAGAATTAGATAGGATAAGATAGTCAATTTAGTTGGAAAATTTTTGTATATCGTTGATGAATTGCTATTACTACATCGTCCGATAATATTCTCTAAACTTCATAATTAGATTCATTTTTTCTATAAAGAAACAATATGAACTTTGTAGTTTTTTTTTATTTCTCTATTTTCTATATGAAAGCATACTGATCTAGAGTCATCAAACTTATGATCAAACCATTCTCTAATACATACAAAAAAAAAAGAAAGTGTCTAATTCTTTATCCATCACCGGCTATTTGTAGAAGATGATTGGTATAAATCAATTTTAAATAAAATGAATAAAATAAAAATAAAGTACTCACCTATATTTTTCTTTCTCATAAAGTTGACGTTTATTAGTGAAAGGTTCTGTCAAATATCGGCACATTACTCTCATCAAGTGAATATTGATTCGTTATGTTTGAAAGATCAAAGTCTGAAAAATTATGTTTTTTACTGTTTTTCAATTTGTACTATGATCTCATATTCAGTTCCTAGAAAAAAGAAACTATTGATTTTCGTGCAAAAAATCATCACTATACGTTAAAAGTTTCATGGCACTTATTAACAGAGAGATATTCCAACATGAGCAACGTTTAGACGTTTTTGTTTAAAGAAGATTGTCAGTTTTGGAAGTTTACTAGTCGTAGACAAAGATTATGAAATCATCATACATATGACGAAAATAGAAAAAGATCTCTAATGTAAGCTTCTATGACGCTTCTCAATCATAAAAACATCTCTAAAATTGCTAACAAATATTGATTGTAGGGTTTATGCCAAAAATTCAAGATGAAAAACGTCTAATGTGATAAAACATCATGTTTGTTATAATTATGTTGTTGAATACATGATGAAAATATATCGTTGTGTTCAATATTAACTTGATAAAAATTCGTAGTTTCTAAATAAATTAATAATTACGCTAAAAATAAGATTGTGAAAGACACTAAGTTAACTTAATATATGTTTTATAGAAGATTCAACAATTACTGGTGTTTTAGAATATTCGGGAATCGCTGAATATGTAGAATGATAATTGTTGTTATGATATTCTTGCCCATAATCATTAGTAATAAGTGGAAAAAAAAACATACACAAGTAAAAATTACAGACTAAAACTGTTGTATAGTAGTAGTATCTGAAATTTTGATAAAATAAATAGTTGCATGATTTGCTATTTTCATAATCAGTTATGTATGATCATGGACAACAAAAAAGCGACTATAAATTTATGAAATAAGAGAACAACATCTCCTGCCTACAAGTAACGACACCACAGGACATCCTTTGGGAAAGGTAGTGCAAAACATCCAATCCAAAGCAAGCTCTGTCTGTAATAAATTACCTAAAAAAAAAGAAAGAATTGGACTGAGTCTTAGAAAAAAGTTAAATGGTTAGCAATAATCAATTCGACTCTTTTGATTTCATCAAAAAAAATGTCTAGAGATAGCAAATTGATTTTTACATAATAAATTTCACAATTTTATAAAATCTAAATGATTCCTTCTTTTTTTTCTAATATTGTCATTTCAGATGCTTTCACAACGACTTTCTTGTTTTAAATTTAATCCTTTTATTAATTTTCATTGTGCTTTCTTCTCATTATCATCATCTCATCATGCTGCAAAACCCACAACGCCAGCAACACCTGTTGATCCAGCTACTCCAACAGCACAATCAGCTCAATTAGCACATAATAAAACTAAAACTTCATTAAGAGGTACGCCATATAATATTACTGATATTGAAACATCTCTTCGTTATATGGAAAGTGATGCATATAAAACTGTTTATGGCAATGAACCTGTATGGAAAAATTATGTTCGAAATCGAACAAAACAACGTTTTCCTCATTATACACGTGATTTTTGTGTTGAAGAAGGTCTTTATATACGTGGAAACCCTTGTCCAGTATGTCGTGATGAATATCTTTTACTTGATTATCGTAATATAAAACTTTTAAAACAATTTGTTAATGATCATACAGGCGAAATTGAACCTGTATTAAAAACTTCCATATGTCAAGCACAATTACGAAATCTACGAGTTGCATTACGTAAAGCTTATGATTTAGGTTTAATGACATATGAAATACCTTTTCGAACATATGATTATCGAGATTATTATCCGGAATTACGTGATGAAAAAGATCGCGCACCATCACTTTTAATGACAATACTTCATGCAGTACAAGATCAAAAATTAACAAATCTTGATCAATTAACATTAACTGATGAACAACTTCGTGCAACGTAACATTTCTTTTCTTTTTGTTGTTGTTTCCTTTTTCTTTTTGTTTAATTAAAAGAACAAAAAATTTGAAATGCATTTTTTCATCTTCATTCATAATAAGTTTTTATGAAATGTGCAAATGAATCACTTATAAATAAAGTTTATTTAAAATCTATATTAATTAAACAAAGAAAAAAAGAATAATCGAAGATTAATGATTAAGAAAGTCATTGCAAGGATTTGTATTTCAGTTAAATACAAAAATACAAGATGTTTTACTGTTTAAATTAATTTAATAATCACAGGGGTCGCAGCGGCCTATGTCTTAAAATCAGGAAAATAGGCAGGACACATTTTAGAAAAAAATCAGGAATTTCGATTAAAATCAGGACATTTTAAGTCTTATCATAGTGCTATTGTTCAGAATGAAAGCTGCACAAAAGTATGTCGATCAATGCTAGTTCATTGGAATTACTATATTATATTTCGCCGAATACGTGCGTCGAGTTCTGCTTTTTTCCTTTTCGTTCGCTATCTCTAATTATGCATTGTGTATACGTTTTCTTTTTCTCAGATACGTGGCCTACGGAAGGGGGCATCCTTCACTATTGGAGTCTTATTTGTTTCTAGTAGAAATCGTATTTTTATCAGGAAAATAGCCGTAAAAAGAAATAAGAAAAATTCGTATTTTCGCACTGTTTAAGGTTCTATAACCATCTTTTCGGCACTCAAACCATTTCCCTGCATCACACTCCCTTCCCCTCTCTGCTACTTTTCCTCTTCTTCATATGCCTGCTCTTCGCACATATAAAACCACCATGTTATAGATAAACGAATAAAAGCGTTTACAAGAAAACTTTAGTAAATCGACTAAAATGTTAAAATAAGGGAATACAAGATTTAATGCAGCTACCCACGGTCGTGAACTGTATGATATAAATACCGCCGAAGTACTGGTGATAATTACTAATGATAAAATAGCTTCTTTCAAAAACCAATTAATTCGAAATAATCGATTCTTAGAGTGATTATACAAGAAAAAAATGGACAGAATAAAAATTTGAGTACCATCTTTCTTTTTATAGAAAATATTCAACAAATATTTTCATAAAATTTTTAAGAAACGTTGAGTATAACAAAATAAAACATCAAAATGACGTATATGTGGCCCTATAGAGATAAATCTTGAAAAATCAGGACAAAAGCAGGTTTTTCAGTCAAAAGCAGGAAAATCAGGACATCTTTAAAAAATCAGGAAAAAATCAGGAAAGTACACACGCTGCGAGGCCTGTAATCATCTCTAAGATATGCTGATTACAATACCATTGTATTTATTTTGCTTCAATAATTGGTCGGAATAAACATTCATCAGATTTTCTCATGTTTTTATCATCTATTCCGAAATATCAAACATAGATAGGGGATATTTCTGTGTGCATCAACACATGTGCACGAAGACCTATTGGGTCGATATTTATCGTATCCATTAGAAAGAAAAAAAGTCCATAGGTTTTTTTCTTTATATCGTTTCTTCTTATTTACAGTACCACCATAATTATCCGTCGTTACTTTTTTTTTCCTTGAGTCCTTCTTTCCTTGTCTATATGACGAATAATCATTTATCATTATTCTCTTTTCTTCTATTACTTTCGTCATAATGGTCGTTGTCTTTCTCAAGTATACCATAACTTGTGATGCTAGAGTATTCCATAGCTTGTGACAAAATGTTCTTCGCACATAAGACCCAGGTCTTGTGTGTAATCAGTATATATATATATAGATGTACGTATGTATATTTGTACTTCAGATTGTTCACCAGATAGAAACTTAGGGTTTATAATGTTTACTATACTTCCTAATAATCCGATGTTTGATCGAAAAGATCATCTTCATAGACGAATACCAACTATTCGACTCGAACAACATTTTTATTATCCAATAAATCAGCAGAATACCAATACAGACAATAGAACGGTAAAATGTCCGAGGTGAGATAAGCTTTTTTCTTTTTTGTGTCGTGTCATATTTGCTTTTAAAATTTCAATTTTAACCTCATATCGCACACACTCTATCTTGTAGACAGAAAGAGATAAAGCTTTTTTTTCTTTTATTGCTAAACATGAATCCTATTGAATTTGGAGAAAAAACACGCCATGATCATTATTTAATGGATCACGATGTTGTTTATGTTAATCATGGTAGTTATGGACCATGTCCTCGTTTTGTTTATGAAGAATTACAACGTATTCGTTTGGAACAAGAACAAAATCCTGATCGTTGGTTTCGTTTATCAAAATATAATTTATATGTTGATTGTGTACGAGCAGCAGCAGATCGACTCGATTGTAACTTTGAACAGATTACTATTGTAGATAATGCAACTGTTGGTATTAATGCTATATTAAAATCTCCTTTACCAACATTTACATCAAAATTAGGTGGAACTATTCTATGCACAAATTTAGCTTATGGTGCAGTTCTTTTTACTATTGAAGAAACTGCCAGACAACGTGGTATGAACATACGAAAAATTGATATTCAATTACCAATTGAAAGTAAACAAGCATTTATTCAACAATTTGAAAATGAATTAAATAAAGGTGATGTTGAAAATATTCGTCTTGCTATTATTGATCATATAACAAGTTCGACAGCAATTGTTTTTCCAATCGATGAGCTTACTGATCTATTACATGCACATGGTATTCCCGTAGTCGTTGATGGAGCACATGGACCAGGTCAAGTCAATCCACGACTTTCATTGAATCAACTAACATGTGATTTCTATATTGGTACATTTCATAAATGGATGTATGCTGCAAGAGGTTGTTCATTTCTTTTTGTTCGTGATCCAATTCTTGCTAATCAACTGCAACCAAGCAACACATCATGGGGTTATCGTCCATCATCATCTCAACTTGATATAATGACACATTTTCATTTACAATTTTTTCATCAAGGTACACGTGATGAATCCGCTTTATTAACTATACCAAAAGCCATTGAATTTGCTGATTCATTGGCTGGTGGATTTGATCGAATTTATGAATACAATTCAAAATTAAGTCAACAAGCTAAAACTTTACTTGAACAACGTTGGAATACACAAGGAAAAGATCTTGTTCCTAATGAAATGCAAGCACCATATTTAAAAATGATTCAATTACCTGATTTAGCAAAATATGATAAAACTGATGATGATGCTATTCGTCTTATAAATGATTTAATCGAACATCATAAACTTGTTTCGATTATTTTATGCTTTAATAACGAACTTTATGTTCGTATTGCTACACAAATTTATAATCGTATTGAAGACTATATAGTTTTAGCAGATACAATTGATAAAATTAGAAAATAAATAATTAAAAAAATAAATAAATAACTAGAGTTTTGTTTTTCTTTTGTTTGTTTTAGACGCTTACGTTCATTATGTATTCGAAAATTAATAACAAACGAAAGATATTTACATTCTTGTCTTCAACAAAAACATATTCTATCATCAACACCATCAAATTTATTTTATTCAATGGGACAAGAAGCTATCTTTATGAATGAATATCAAATAATTGAACTTCTGATTGCATATTGGCCATTAGTTTACTTGGAAATTTATCGTCTTTTACCATTATCATCTATGTTATTTAATGCACATAATCAACAACAAGATGATGAAATTGATTCAATTGCAAAACTCTTAGAAAAAAAATTACCAGATGGTTCAACGTTAATTGATTATATTGCCATGGGTTTAGTTAATAAACATAAAAGTTTATCATGTCTTAAGGTTGTTGATTTTCATCGATGTTCATCAAGTAAAATCAAATAATTAAATGTAGTTTTACAATTTTTTTGTTTGATGATTTCTTTTTGTTTTCGAAGGTATTCAAATGACAAAAGAAATTTTTCGTTTACCATTATTATGGACTAAACCTGAACGACGTTCTTCAATACAGAAACGAATGTGTAAGTTAAATGAAACGACGAGAAACACGTTAAAAATCATATTGTATTTTGATTGATTTAGATATTGAAAAAAATAAATTAAACAAATATATTGAAGGATTCAATTATGTTTATCAATATTATGATAAATCCATTGCACATGAAACTAATTTTGGTAGAATATAATGCATGGGGTGATTATCCTTTATTTTATATTAAGTAGCATGTGTTTGTTTTATCCCTTTTTCCTTGATTGAAAACTTATTTATTAGAACAGACAGGCAAATTTAAAAATTTTGCTGACTATTTTCAACTATTTACTAGAAAAATATTAGAAAGTTTAGAATATCTCATTTTGACTCGCTTATTTATTATTAAGATATAGTTTCTATTCAAATTGGACCAGTAGAATATTATTTCTATGAAGACTTATTTGATTTCAGAACAAGAATGAAACTCTCATGAAATCATATTGAGAAAAAAGTTATACCATTCCGAGAATTAAGAAGAAAATAAAACTTAATACAACTTTGTTATTCATTTTCAGAACCTATCAAAATCATTCATGATTGTCAAATAATAAACGAAGATACACTAGTTGGTCTTGAACTTCAACAATTAACACCATTTCGATTTCAATTTCATAAATTATGGATAAATAATAATTTCCGACAAGTTCTAACACCTAATACATTATTTGATATCAATTTGATTTTAAATCTAACAAATGTTGATGTAATTATTCAATTAATATATGTTTTTTTTTTTTTTGCAATACTTTTTTTTTCTCTTTTGAAGCATATCACACATCTTCATTTAAGTGATCCAAATATGGAAACAACAGAAAATGAATTAACATTACTTGTTCGAAGTTTATCAAATTTACGTAATTTACGTGTACTTTGTTTACAACGTGTTCTGAATTTATATCCTCATCGGTATAAGAAATCTTGTTTTTTTTCTTCTTCTTCATTTTGCTAATAGTTGATTTTATTATTTAGTTATACAACACCACACATGTTGATGAATTTATGTACAGATTTTAATCGTTTACTTCGTCGTTTAATTTATTTACGCAAACTTGATCTCTCTTATTCATATCTACAATCTTATATTCGTATATTATTTAGTGGTCTTATTCAACCACTTGAATATCTTAATTTACAAGATTGTCGTTTAATGTCAAATGACTTGGAATTTTTATTATCAATGCGCAATCTACGCCATTTAAATGAATTAAATTTAAGCATGAATAATTTTGGTACACGTACCTGTTCAAATTTTATTTTACAACTAATACCGCGTTGTACACAATTAACAATATTGTCAATTGGTTATTGTTCATTGCAAGCATCAACAATTGGGCAATTAGCTGATTATTTTATAAAAGAAAAAAGTCAAACAAAAATATCATATTTATCATTTAAATCTATAATTCCTTATTACAGTTATGAATTTGATTTTTTATTACAAAAATTTGGACAGATAAAAACATTGAAAAAACTATTATTATTTCCGCAATTACATACATATCCAGGTGCGAATGATGATGAAAGAGAATTAGTAGCAGCAGAACTTTATCGAAGATGTTGTCAAACTTTACACACATTAAATAGACAAGACTTAGAAATATTGTAATAAAAAAAACAATATTGTAAAAAAGAAATTATTGTATTTTTAAATAAATCCAGAAAAAGTTTTAAACTAAAATAGAGTTAGGTTTTTTTTGTGTTTTGCTGATAGTTATAAAGTTTTTTGTATTTCAAATAGTGCTTGAATTAGGAATGATAAACAATGAAATGATGAATCTAAACACGGTTGCCATATCTTTCAAAATGGTAGGAAATTTTCTGAATTTCAAGCTTTTGTGAGCATCTTCATCATGCCATTGTAATCATTATTTAAGACAGAGCTTTTAAGGCTACTAACAGTACAAGTTTTCATGAATCTAAATCATTGCCCAACTAAACTCAACAAACTGTATTATAAAAGGAAGACATTTATATAAATAATGTCATCAAAATAAACTGACTTGTAGGTTTAAGAAAGAGCTATCTCGAATGATGATTGTAACATGTGTAATTGAATTGGATTCAGTCGTGAATGAGGAGTTCGAGGATTCGAATACGAGTGTAAGTGAGATTGAAGAAGACAAAAATTATGTCACGAATAATTTTCACATAAGATGTTGATAGAGTAGAATATATGTTAATAAAAAGAAATTATATATGTAAGTTGAAACGTCAACTATCTACTTTCTGAGTTTTCATCATCGAAATATCGATTTACAACTCTTCGCTCTGGCAATCTTATATCAAAAGTAATGTTTGACTAATCAATTCAAGAGATAACAAGTTAAATAATACAGTTAAGATAGAGCTAGAATTTTCAGAAAGTAAAACAATGAAACTATCAAAATATTTAAAAAATAACTTGTTATATAATATCATATAAATAAATTGTCAACAACATAAATTCTAATGCGTATGCTAATCTTATATCTTTCTTTGTTACTTCCTATTGGGAATTCTGTATGATGGCTGGAGATTAATTTTATGAGCGAATAAAAGAAAAGAGATAATTAATTCTTGTATCAATCACATTTTTAAATAAGCCAAAGCCTTGTTTCAACTTTATTTGAGTATCTGACATGTATACAAAGAAAAAAAAAAGAACAGATGAACTAAAAATTTGATAATTATAACGACTCGAATTTATGTAGATAATAAAGATTTGTTATAGTATTTTTTTCAGTAAATCAATTAGAGAAAAAAAAAGCAGTTAAAACTGTCTCATCATTGATAATATTAATATTCAGAAGTATAATATTCATTATGTTGAATTTATTATTTTATTTATTCCCAAAAGTCTGATTTTTTTTGTCTTAGGTTAACATCTTATTGGACAGCATGTTATACTCATTTTTTTTTCTTTCGGCATGTTATTTCACTACTTGTGAATATATATTGGTTATAAGTCTAAGAAAATTGACCTTTATTAAGTGTTATATAAGCGACAAAACTTTGACATATTAGTCTATTTAAGTTAGTTGTAAGTATATTTAACTGACGTTTTTTTTTCTTTTGTGTGAGAGATTAGAAGATAAACTTATTTATTCTAAGAAATAATTTCTTCGTTATATCAGTTCGAGTTCATCGATCATGATTAACTGCCCTTATCGAATGTTGTATCAACTTAAAAGAGCATGTAATTTTTCTTACTGATTAATTACTTGTACAAGATAATTATTCAAAATAAAAATATATCTTTAAAAGATATCGAAGAATATTCTCGTGATTGAACGATTAAAGAATCATCATATTCACAATTACCAACTAACAATTTTGCATTACATCACTTCTTTTTTCTATAGAAAAGGTATAGTTTTTTTTTTCTTTGAAATAAAAGAATCAAGATGTTGTCCTATTCTCTGCTAAGACAAAAAAAATCCGTGCGCTTGTTAATCAACGCTTTATTCTTTAGAAATTCATTGTACATACACCCTTTAGGGAATTTCTCTCTCGATCTCTAAGGTTAGTTCATAAATAGTGAACGAATGAATTTTTTTTTCAACTGATCTCGTTTCTTATTAATGACGATTTCAAAAAATTCCTGACAGGTAAATCGGTAGGTTGATTTTCTCAATTCTATAGATATATGCCATTTAGTCGGTTAATCAGAGTATAAATATTACTTTTTATGTTAGCATATAATGGAATTGTTTGATGTTAAAGAATAAAGTATTTGTTATAGAGCGATCATCCATTCTGAGAAATTGCTAAGTGGCACACTCCATTTAATAGTTTATCACGTAAGACAATGTCATTATTTCTACGAGAGTTCATATATAATTTATGTCATAATCATATATATTTTTTTCTATGTTCTGACTTTTATTTAATGGAAAAAGTGAGTAGAATATGTATTATATTTTTAAAGAAGTAGTCGTATTAATTGTGATAACCGAAAATTCTTATAGATTTCTTTTTCTGCGTATATTGATCAAAACGAAAAAAAAATGAAATTCTATTTGTCGTCTTTTCTCAATCGAACATTACAATAATCCATTATGCAAATATATCAGTAGTAAATCGTTTTTTGTTGTTTTGTTTTCAGCATAATCTTAGAGTCAAGTAGTCGTATGATAATCTAATGTTTTATTACTCTTAATATCGAAATATCTTTTTCTTTTCATTGGTTCATTTAATATACATTGAACTAAATTCTTTCATTTTCTTTTCTTTACATACAGGAAATACGCTCTTGTTCATGTATTCTATCGTGAAATGAGAATGCTAGGAAAATAGCCTTATGAGTACATACACATTACTCATTCTCATAGCTTTTTGAATTTCATTTTGGTTCATTACATTTTCAATATGTTATATATCTTAATAAAAAAAGAATCATAAATTTAGTTTGAATAAAAGAATCCATAGCTATACTGACGGCTTTCTCACCTTATCGTGTCCATGGATTTCTATTTCTATGAATTATAATATATTGTTATAGGAGAGTAGAATGAACATCTATTCAATTGAATTGAAGATCAAATATAAGAAAAGAAAGAAAGAAAAAGCGAGTCAAGTCTCTACTTCAATGACATATAACCTTCTACATTGATATAAAAATTTTTCAATTTGTCGGTATGTTGATATTGTCCGTATGCTGTTCATTATAATTTGTTTTTCTTTTCAACTATTCATAAAACTAGTAGTAAAATATAAAAGAAGAAAGCAGACACACTTGCCTCCTTGTCATCATATTTGGTTACAATGAATAACGACATGAACAGAAGAAAAAGATTAGAATAGAATATGAGAGATTGTTCGATCGTTTGATGGCACCGAATACTACTCCTGTTCGTTCTCTCCACCCACCTAATGGATAATTGAAGAACAAGAGCAAAGTAACAATGTCTTTAGGCTATTACACACATATATATGTACATAGTAAGAAAAAAACAAAATTCAACGTTTGTATTCTTAATGAGATATGACTACTGTATTCAGCCATGATGCTTACTGCTTAGAAATGTCATCGTTTGAATATGATCATTCGGTTTATGATTATATACATATGCACACGTATATATATATACATACTTGTGTCATCATCTTCAGTTTTTTTTTTCTCTTGTCTTTTTCATTCTCCATTTGTTGATGTTCGACGAAGTGTTAGAATATAAATGAACTAAACAAGTGGTCAGCCAATATCGGCGACCATTCAATCACTCATAGACACATCCGGTTATTGTGTACAGCACACCCAAACAAGCGTAAATTTAATTGCTGCGATCATCTTCCGTCTAATTCACTTGCATGCAAGACAACATATCCTGTTTGAAATGAGGAACTAACTGATGCTTCCCAAATATACCAAGAGTATAGACTAATAGCTTTAGTAAATGAGGAATACGAATGAGAGTAGTCGGAACGGGATATTGTGTGAATGTGCACGCATACATATATGCACGTTTCATTAATTCATTATACCCTTGCGGCTTGATGATGTATATGTGTTGAAGAAGAAAACAACATATCTACAGTCGATTACTTCTTTGAAGGTTCTTCCTCCTACTCATTCTCATCATCATCATCATCATTATCGTTTGTGTGCAAGTAATATGGTAATAACAGTTTTTCGCCGTTATCGTCTTCATTCGGTTCATTGGCGACCAAAACAGTGTCGATCTATTTGCATGTAAGTTATTGAAACACAACAATACACTTGATTTATTTTTGTTATTCAATAGTATTTTTATGGGTCAACGATAAAATGCCTAATTGTTGCTCATGGTTAAATCGGTTGTGTTGTTGTCGACGTCAACAACAACACGCATATATCTATTTGTACAGTCCAACAATGCCTGATTCACCGTCATCATCTCATTGTTGTCTTGTTTGTATGCTTTTTGGACTTTGTCTTACTCTTGTGGTTATCCTAGCAGCTGTATTTATCTATCATTTAAACAGTAGTGATTTTAGTCAATTAACAACAAAGTCTATTACTACATGTACACACCCAATAGCCAAAAAACGTCAATTACCTGAGTTTGTTAATGTGAATATAGATCCATGTGAAAATTTTTATGATTTTGTTTGTGATAAATTAACACGACGAAAAACTAAAGAACAATATAATGATAAAGATGATTTTGAACAAAAATGGACACGTATACGACATGAAATTCATGATAAACTTATGACAAATATTAGTAGTCAATCAATATCAAACGAAAGTATGAATAAGAATTTTTTTTTAAATTTTAAACTAATTTTTTAGCAGCAAATAATTTGATAGACTTACTTAAAACATATGAGATGAAAAGATATAACATGCTAACAACGACACAATTGCTTGTGAATCGTATTTTTGATGAATGAACTCCATGGATAATCAACTGGAAAAAACACAAGGTTATCAGAGGTTATTTTCTTGTCTGTAGAACTCTTCGTCAGCTATCGCTCAGCAATAGTCCAGAATTGTCAAATTCTTTGAGTACTTTGGTACTCGCATCGTGATTTTTTTCTGTAAATTTAATTTTTTTTCAAAAATAATCACCGTATTAGACTGGACAGACGAAAACATCTTCTGAAAATCTTTTGTTTTTTTTGTGATTGATTACACCTGCAAGTATCTATCAAATATACGATTCGCAAGTATTTTATCATCGTTAAATATGAAACAATATATTCATAATTTTTTTAGTGGATCACATGTCATCTGTTTATCGATTATATCAATTATGTGAAAATCAATCACCTGAATTACTACTTTATGAACTTGAACGTTATTTTGCTAAACTTAGTCAACATGAACCATATCGATCATATCTAACACTTTTTAATCAAACAAATAAGATTAAAATTAATTCAACATCATTAATTTTTCTTGAACCAAATCCATTTTTTAAAATTCAATCATTATCATCAAATTCATCAATTATAAGTCGTATTGATCGTCGTCCATTACCTTCAGCAATATCTATCTTTTCAAATTTAACTATATTAAATCAAACAGCATTTAAATATTTAAAAAAATTTGATAATGATTATCTTAAAATATTATCTGAAGAAGATATTTTAATAAAATCATATGAACAAGAATATAGTCAAGATTCATTAATTATAAAACGCATATTATTATATTCAAATTATGATTTATGTTTATCATCATTAACATCAAATACAAGTAATGGTCTAGAAAAATTAATACAATTATTAAATCATTTTCTTCATTCACGTTTACAAAATTTTAATACTAAATCAATTGATAAACAAATTCGTATATTAAATAAAATAACAGATAATCATACACTTGTTGAACATCTTCAACGTATTAAAATAGATTTAAAAACAATTGATCAAATTATTCTTTTAAATAATACAAATGATTCTTGTATTATCAATTTACTTGATCAATTACTTGATAAAAGAATAAAATCAAATGAATTAATATCAATAATTAATTTATATTCATCTTATCAAATAACAAATGATTTTATTTCAAATGATTGGCCATTTTTATTTATGTTATATGATCATTTATTAAAAAAAACATCAATTGATACTTTAGTTAATTATGCTTTTTTTGATTATTATAGACAATTTATTTATCCATATTATCAACCACATATTCATCATACTAATAATCTTAATATTAATCATAATAATGAATATTATGGTTATACATATAGTACAAATTATTCGACTTTATCATGCCATGTTAAAAGTTGTTTTGATATTTTTAATTGTTATCATCCTTCTTTACTTAATCAATTAATGGATAATCATAATCAAGTAAATATAAACAAAAAGAAGAATTAACAAATTATTTGTATTTCATATATTAGACTTTCATGTGAATTATATTAGGAGAAAACTTTTCAATTAACTACCAATCTGAAACTTCGAAGATGAAAAAAACATTGTTATTCATTTATTCAAACATGTTCATAGAAATTGTCTGATATGAAAATTTCTAAACAAACAGGATATGAATCATGAGTTCACATAGTTTTTCAATTTAGTTGATATCATTCTCTCAAACATAAAAATATCAAAGATTTAAATTCTAACAGAAGAAAAGCCAATCGAGATGGATAACAAAAATTTTTGTTCTCGTCTTTTTCTATCCATTAAATCTTTATAGCATTGATATGTTTTATTTTCAATACCATTAAGAGAGTACTTATTTTAAATGACGTAGATAGATTATATAGAAAGAAAAACCAATCAGTTACGTATTCATCTAATTGAATAATTTGTTTATAAATATCATATATAACTAATGGCGTATAAAGAATAGCTTTTTAAGTGTTTTGTTTTCAAAAGATAGTTCATTAAATTCTCTACAAACTTCTATGAAAATGGCTTTGCATAAATGTAACGAGAAAACCCTATCCGTTCAATAGTGTTACAACCTAAAAGAATCCTAATACAAATACTATCTTTAAAAAAAAAGATAATTAAACACTTTTCAGACCATTCTAAAACAATTATTCTACATATCCAAATGTATTCTTTCGAACAGAACTCATTAAAGACCTTTAGAAACGTTTATGATATATTAAAAATCAAGCTTTTTGAAAAAAAGGAAGTTACAACTATCGATGATGCTCCCTCATTGAGGCATTTATTATGAAGAAGAACCTTGAGGACAGTTCGCTCGAGTCTAAACCAGATTAAAATACTTACTGTCAATTCGATAATAAATTGGACTCCGTATTATTGGTATACTGGATTTAATTAAACTAAAATTTTCAGAAACCTCTATGAAAGATTTAAAATAAGCCAAATAAAGTATTTGATTAAGTAATACTGCTTTTTCATAAGTTACAAAGCAGGATATACAGTCTTGATTCTATATGCGAGCAAGACACAAACAAATTAACAACTTAAAAAACATCTTGTTGAATTACGTTACTGCTGATTGGATATGGTTTTTTCATTTAAAACGAAATGTTCAAGTGAAAAATTTTAGAAAATTGAGAAAGAAATGCGAAAAAGAAAACCAAAGAGCGTTATACGCCCATTTGTTATAAATATCAAGTGTTATGCAGTAAAATATTTGTGTTTTGTAAAAACAAAGAGAACAAAAAGAAGGCCTTCTCAATCAAGGTGAAGTCAAAATATAAATAACTATGATAGTCTTTTTTTAGACTGTATGATACAAAAATATCTTAATTGGTTTTTTTAATAAAATAAATAAATAATTTCACTTTAGACATTTCTTAATACAACAAAAACTTTAGTAGAAAATATAATTAATCGTTTTCGTTTATTAACTGAACAATCGGATAATTTATTTCTTAATGAAAAAAAGCAAATTCTCAATAAATTAAATCAAATTCAAATATATGTTGGTCATTATTCACCATTACCAAATATTGTTTTATCCGATGAATTATCATCATATATTGAATATGTTCAATTATTTCTATCAATTCCATATGATAAACAAGAACGTTCATATTATATTGAACCAATTTATTATTCATTAAGTAATATATTATATCTTCCATTTGGTTTTCTTTCTTTATCAAAAAATTCAATTGAATATCATGTTGTAAAACTTCTATTAAAACTTCTTCGTTCAACTATTCACTCAAATCCATATAATATTGAATGTTTATTAAAATCATCCGATGATGAACAAGATTTTATAAATACAACAAAATTTTCTTTAAATGATGAATCTATTGTATATTTATTATTACGTTCAAAATTTATATTCGAACAAAAATTAATTCTTGATGAATATTTATGGCCATTTACAAATACTAATACATTAATGAAAACATTTCTTATTGAATATACAGCAAATAATTATTGTAGAAATTTAAATGGTTATGATTTATTTCTAACTAATACTTATTTTATTGATGATATTCATTTAATTTTTCTTTGTCAACATGCTAATACAATTAAACAATCGAAATGTACTGTCACTTGAGTTTGTTTGTGGTTTTTTTTTATTTTATACATTTAACAACAAATAAAAAATAAAATAAACAATTTTTTACAATAGATTTGTACATTAAGGAAAAAACAAAAAAGAATGTCTTTTAAAATGATGTGTTAGACACATGCCAAAACATTCTTATCCATATATTTCAATCCAATTGAAAGTTGTATGATGTGCACATACATCACATCGTTAAATAAATAACTTTCTTCATTAACCATCAAGGCAAAGAATAGTAATGTTCACATAAAAGAATTTGTCAGTATATTTGTATGAAAATAATCATTATCATTTTTTACTGATGTTGAAGTTGTTGTTAAATCAAATGAGAAAAGAACTTCTTCGAATGGACGAGAATGATTTTGTATACTATTAGTAAATGAAATAATATTACGAGAATAAAAAACCATGATTACATCTTGTTGAAATAATCTGTGAATACAGTTGTTTTGCATTATATGCGCTCAACATCTATTACTTTACTATTTGGTGTAACATCACGAGTATGGGTATTTATACTATGATTTACCTCGTGAGGAGTACATCGTCATTATCATCTTAGAGAAAAACATGACAAGAGAAACCTCCACAAATGTACTTTGTGTTCTCTTTTTCTTCATGTGACCTATCCGCGAGACTACATAGCTGAAAAAAAAATCGTTCTGTTATTTTTTTTCCTATATTCCTCGACTATGCTTTTTTTTCCTTGGTCGCCATTAAACAAAAAAAAAGCACGTGAATTATATTAATTAAAAACGATATAATATTTCCATCACGTAGAAAAAATGGAAGGAAAAAGAACTTTAGATAACAACGTAATAAAGAACATCTAACAAGAAATATCTAGAATACTTACATACTTATTCAAGACATAATTGTGTCAATAGGAATTTATTAAAACAAAAAAAAAACAAAGAATAATAAAAACAAACACCCAAACATTTATGCAGGGTGAATAATCATGCACACACGCACACACACAACCAGTAAAAAGTCATATACACAGAGTACGTCGTTTTATTTATTTAGTCTCATTTTAAATGAGATCAGCTACATTCATTGGCATTTCATCAATTTGTGTTGCATAATATTGTTCAATATCACGCAAAACTTTTTTTTTTTTTTTTTTTTTTCTAAAAAAAAAAAACCAAATTTTTCAATTTTTTTTTTTTTCTCGGAATCAAAATAAATAAATAAATGAAAAAATACTTACTAATAGCAACACCTTTACGTCCAAATCGACCTGAACGACCAATACGATGAATATATAATTCACGTGAATTAGGTAGATCATAATTAATAACAAGACTAACTTGTTGAACATCAATACCTATTTAAATAAATAAAAAATAGTAAAACATAATTTTTATTATTTTTAAAATTCTAATTTTTAAATATTTTTACCTCGTGCCCAAACATCAGTTGTAATAAGTACACGTGTATCTCCAGCCCGAAATTCTTTCATAATAGCATCTCGTTCTTCTTGTTTCATATCACCATGCATTGATGATACAGTAAAATTAGCTTCACGCATTTTTTCTGTTAACCAATTAACTTTACGTTTAGTATTACAAAAAATCACAGCTTGTGTTATTGTTAATGTATCATATAAATCACATAATGTATCAAATTTCCATTCTTCACGTTCGACAGCAACAAAAAATTGTTTTATACCTTCAAGTGTTAGTTCATCACGTTTAACTAATATACGTATGGGATCTGTCATAAATTTTGATGTGATTTCAAGAATTTCATGTGGTAATGTTGCTGAAACAAGAATAACTTGAGTTTGAGGTGGTAAATGACGATAAACTTCATAAATTTGTTCTTTAAAACCAAGATTAAGCATTTCATCAGCTTCATCTAATATCAACATTTTTATATGACGCGTTCCTAAAAAATGTCAAACAATTATATTCATTGTAAAAATTAAGCATGTCCGTTTTCAGACAAATATATTCATAAACAAGATAATTCAATTGTTCTATCACTGTTTGAATTATACGCAGTTTATCTATATTTTGTCATTATATTAACATGTTTGTGACTTTGTCTACAATGCACTAAGAGTTCGATTCAAATAAAATGAACGCATATTAACTTCTTCAAAATGTACCTATTTTGCACTACTGAAAGAAAAAAAATACGAAGTCTCAACTAGAATATCAGTATTATGTTACTATAAAGTACTCTCACTAAGTAAATTACTAATATGTCAGCTTTGAACACAAAGTTCAGCTGTGTTCATAAAAGCCAGACATCAGTAACTTGCATTCGTATATGAATACATTAAATAGCTCGAAAATTTTGATACAAGGAATCGTAGAATCTTTTAGTTTGTCAACGATGCACGTACATCAGAATTCTTCGTACAATAGAATGATATTTACATAAACATCTTTTAGAATTTTACGTTTTTTCACGATTAGCCATTGTTCCTTTATGAGTATGTATATAATACTTGTAATTTACAGGCGTACTTCGTCCTACTGACTCTTTCTTCTGCAAAAATCAATCTGAATTCGAAAAATTATGGTAAAATCCTATTATTTTTTATATAATGTTTTCAAACGAACTAACCCGTGCGTAAAATATTCTTGCATAGCATGTCTAGTCTACTTATAAATCATGGGAGATAATCAAAAGTAATCAGATAGAGTCAGAATTTTATGCTGTTTTTAACTATATATATTAAGAATTTATTTTCTGACTTAAAATTAGTTTATTGAGAAGAAAATTTTGACAGAAATCAACAACGGTATCTATACAAAATTTTTATGTAGTGCAGTTTTGTATTCATTAGATTGTAGAGCAAGACTTGTTTTACCAAATATCAAATTTATTTTTCCTGTTAGATATTACTACAAATAATCGAAATTCGAAAGAAGTGACTTTTTTGAAAAATTTTGTTTCACATTAAAGAGTACCTGTTCGATAAGCATACTTAGAGTTTGATTCATTTTGAATTCTGGTTTATTGTAATATATGATTTAGTAGAAAAATTAAATTCTATGCAATATTAGAAAGTCAAAACTATCCTAAAATCTCCTTCAGAGAACTTATGAATGATAAAAGAAAGCCAAATTTCACTTACGAGGAAACATATTTGAGTGTCTCCCACTGAGAATAAGTTTAAAACCATTCTATTCGATAGAGATCATGATGAATATCTCTAAAATCAATGTCTTAGCTGCCCTCGTATAGATATGAAAAAATGAGAGAATCAAACTTTTTCATTTTCATGTCCTTTCCTATTACCATAGCTGTACCATTTTTCACTTCTATAAGATTTGCAACAAACAACAATTTTCTTTTTTGAGAGGATCTATCGAAAATGAGGAAGATTCGATATAGAAGATATATTTATCGGTCAGAAAGAATGACATTATGTGTGTGTTTTCCAACACTTTTTGTTGCTTTTAATATCACATGATCATTAGAAACGTTTTGAGTGCTCATCATCATAAATATCAATATCGTCCCACATTGGAGAAAGTAGTTCGTAAACAGCGATATACAGTCAAAAAGTGATACACTTACGGATCTTTATACAGTAACCGTGAGCGAGCAGCTGTTTACAGCATATCTAACATGTAATTAAGGCCGTCTTACATAGCTCTACACAAACATAATACTCACTGTAATAGCATACAAATTTCATACAATAGAATATGATGATCGAGAAATAATCCAACTAACTAGAAGTTTTTCGTCTGAAGATATTAATTGGTTTTACTCGAAATAAAGTGAAATATTAGCACATTAGCCTTCGTTTTGCTTTGGTTATAAAGGGAGCGCATGGTCACTCCTATCAGCGGCTATATAAAAATAATTATTCTGCATATGTGACCAGGATGTATAAATATAATACTGTTATTTGTGACCGATAAATATCTCTTCTATATTGAATCTTGCTCATTTTCATTTTCGACAGATCCTCTCAAAAAAACAATTGTTCTTTCTTGCAAATCTTATAGAAGTGAAAAATGGTACAGCTGTGATCATAGGAAACGACATGAAAATGAAAACGTTTGATTCTCTCGTTTTTTCATATATAAACGACGGCAGCTAAGACATTGATTTTAGAGATATTCATCATGATCTCTATCGAATAGAATGGTTTTAAACTTCTTCTCAAGGGGGACACTCAAATATGTTCCCTCGTTAGTGCAAACAATATTTTTGATCTATTTAAATATTTGCTCACAGCTAATCAATGATAACTCAGTGAACAATTCTGAGCATTCATTAGAAAAAAAGAATCGAATTCTAGCTTTAGTTGACTGATTTTGAGTTTCTTCAATAACATAAAAGTCTATAAAAAAAATGAACATACATCAGTTTGGGATACCAACAAATGTTTGCTTTCAAAGAATTAACTTTAAGCCAAAAAATATATTAATACATAGTTAGAGAGAGTATGAAATTCCTATTGTAGCTGATTACTTTTGGTTCTCTTCCGTAACTTAAAAGTAGACAAAAGATGATCGAATATATTATGTAAAGACTTCTGTACTCGTAAGTTATAGGATGAAATGATTTAGAAGAGAATATCTGATTGACATATAAATATATATATGCATGTGTCAAAGACAAAAATAATTATTCTAAGAGAAACTAACAACTCAGTAATAAGCTTCTAAATACTGAAATTTTTCAATATTTCAAAAAAATATATAAAATCAAATACTAACGTAAAGATCCTCGATTAATCATATCAATAACTCTTCCAGGTGTTCCACTCACAATATGTTGTCCATAATCAAGTTTTCTCATATCTTCTCCTATATTTGTTCCACCAATACAAGCATGACATTGTACGCTCATAAAATCTCCTAAAGCTAAAACAACTTTTTGTATTTGTTGTGCTAATTCTCTTGTTGGTGATAAAACTAATGCTTGTGTTTCACGTATATTTGTATCTAATTTTTGTAACATTGAAATTGAAAACATAGCCGTTTTACCAGTGCCAGATTGTGCTTGTGCAATAACATCACGTCCTTTTACAATTGGACGAATACTACGTTGTTGAATAGCTGATGGTTTTTCAAAACCATATGAATAAATACCACGAATAAGATTTTCATTTAAATTCATCGCATCAAATGTTGGACATACTTCAACATCTTCACTTGTTTCAAATTCAACTGCGTCTAAATCATGACCAGTTTTTACTGTCCGTTGACGTTTAGCTGAATGTTCCGAACTTGCTGACATTTGTTGTAACAATAAAAAAAATTTCACAATGAATACTTCAATTACAAACTTTAATCAATAGACAATTTCGATTGGTTACATATGTTAGAAAAAGTATATTCTTCTGACCTCTATCTTTTGTTTTTGATTGGTTTTGATTCATATCAAATAAAAATCCAACCAGATGTCAGTTTCCAAAAAATATTTTGCATCTTATGTTCATTTTGTTACGAAATGGCTAACAATAAAGATGAAGAAAATTTATCAAGTTCAAGTGATGATGATGATGATGATGACGATTCAACAACAAGTTCATCAAGTACATCATCATCATCATCTGATAATGATGATAATAATGAACAAATTGATGAAGAATCTGATGATAATTTAACAACATTAACTCCAAAACAAGCATATTTATCTCTTGAAGCAAAACGTAAAAATCTCGGTAAACGTTTATTAGAATTACGGGATGAATTAAAAGCTCAGCCACAAGCTGATATCGATACAAAAAAACGTTTGTTAACTGAAATAAAAAATTTACGTGAAAAATGGATTGCTGTACAAACTCGTTTAACAAATCTTAAAGCAAGACTTAGTCATAGTCCAACACCTGAACGTGCAATCGTTCAAAAAACAACAATTAAAAAACCTGAAGAAACTATTCAATCAGAAACAAGAATTATTCCACCACCACGTTTAAGAACAGCATCATCATATAGTTCATCTAATCGTTCAAGATCATCATCAAGAGAATCAATGTAATAAATAAACTTTTACATATTTTGTTTTTTTTGTTTTTCATTACCTTTGTTTTTTCATGTAGACGATCAAATGAAAAACCTTATCATGATTTAGATGCATTAGATGATATTGATAACTCAAAAACTCGTGATATACTTTCATCTCGACAAACAACATCTTATCGTGATTTAATTGATGATCGTTCACTATCATTATCTCCACCGCCATCATCTAATCAAATTCCTTTATCAAATCTATCTTTAAATGAATCGAAGATATTCGATGATGAAAATATTCAAGAACAAGAACAAGAAGAAGAAAATACTAATTCGAAAGAAACATTTTATAATCAAATTATTCCATATCCTATTGTTAACGATAAACGTGATCTTGAAGTTATAAATCGTCAATTAAAAAATCAATTACGTGAATTAGAAGCAAGTAAAAATAATCCATTATATGATTCACAATCAAATTTAATTAATTATGAACGTTTAAAAAAACAAAATGAATATATTAATTTAAGAATTCGAATTGAAAAATTAAAAAGAACTAAGACAAAAACACAACGCGAAAAAGAACAAAATAAAAAACAATTTCATATGCTTTTACAAGTATGCTGAATATTCAGAATTTTATTTTCATTTTCATGAAATTTTTTCTATATTAAAGGAATTTCGTAAACTTCAACGTTTTATGCGATCAGCTAATCGAGAATATTCTAATAATCAATTTTTAACAATTAATACAGAAAATTTTCCATCATCAATACCTCTTCCATCATCACCAGAAGTCAAACAACAACAACAACAACAACCGCAACAACTGCAACAAGAAGAAATTCAATTACCACCATTCGATTTAAATAAAGTTACAGGAAAAAAAATTCTTTTTGAATCATCAGATTCTGATGAAGATGAAGAACCTACAATTGAACCTCAAGTTCCTGTTTCACTATCTGTTAGTGAACCACGTGCTGTACCTGATGGTTTCGATCAAACACAACCACCACCATTACCAATGCCATCAAGTTCTTCGTCATCAGCTACTCTTGATGCAATTAAAACTCGTGTTGCGAATTTAATTAATACACCCGCTTCTTCATCATCTCAAATTAATCAACCAAGTACAACTACTCAAGTTGCCAATAATGATGATGATGATGATGATGATAATGATGATCAACCAGTAATTAATTCAGAAAGAAATCAAGCTATATCAGCAAAATTTCATAGAAAACCAAGAAGAGCGAAAAGAAAAAAACATAAAAAAAAGAATCAAAATTCACAACCAATACAACAAACAGCAAATGATAATGAATCAACAGTCATTGATCAAGAAGAAGCATGGAAACGTCATGTTGCTATGCAACTACAGTTTAGTTTTCTAAAAGGATCCAATCCTATCTTACGGGCATTAACAGCTGAAGCACATAAAAAACTGGGTATTAGTCAAGAAGAAGTTAATGGTAAGTAAGACTTATTATTACATTAATGGTACTTTTCGATGGATCTTTTTACTTCTATACTATAAAATCATCTTTCTTTTGTTACATGTCTAAGGAATTAAGATCTTAAAAATTGTTAAAGTCAAATCTTCATTTTTATTAGACTGACCAGAGAACATTTTCAGATGTCTGCAAATTTTTGAGCTCATATTGTGCCCATGGGTGTTCTTTGTTGAATTTTGTACTGTTCAAATAGTTTCTATGCCCAAGAAAGTAATAGTAAACTCTTTTTCGTGATTATGAAAAGGTAGAAGACTAGAAAATCTTTCGAAGATTAAATCTAATGGTAACTAGTTTGTATTAAACTTTCCAACTATAGAGGCTGAAGAATTTTACAGATGGATTCGAAACTTTCTTGAAATTTCACTATAATTTTCTAACGAAGCATAGACATTTATCGTACTTCTGAATAGCGTACACTCAACTTCATATGAAAATCATGAAGACGAATAGTTTATGTTCTAATAGAAATGGGACTGAAGAAGGAACGTTAAAACATCTAATATAATCTACTTATCATTAAGTTCACTCTCAAAAAGATTTACAGTCTCCTACATTATAAAAGTCACCAAAAAGTATTTACTATCACTCACATATACATGGGAAATATTCGAACAATTCAAATCTTAGCAAGGAACGATCATGAGTCTCCATATTTTCGGGTCTTTCTAAGTTTCGTAGAGATTTATACATGAGAAAAATATAGAGTCCAATATCATTCACGCCATTACCAGTAAATACCGTCATTTTTTTTCTCGTCAAGAATTTCAATTCGATGATGAAATGATGGATTATGAAACTGCACTTATTTTACAACAACAACAACAATTTTTAGCTGCTGCTGCTGCTAATCCATTTAATGTTTTACATAGTGCTGCACTTGGAAATTCATCATCAAGACCTAATTTAGTTGATGTTCTTTCAAATTTAAATGGTGGTATAACACCATCATCGTCTGAACCTCAAACTCCAATGGGTTTATTACAAAAATTTTTTCTCGATGCTAATAATAATTCAAATGCTGAAAATCGAAAAAATCTTAATCTTAATGATTTATCAACAACACCACCTACTCCACCATCACCACGTGATATTTCTCTTGGAAGAAAAATTGTTGAATCATTAACACATCAAGATATAAATGCATTACTTAAATTAAGTGGAAGTGAACATGATGATGATGATGATGACGATGATGATAATAATAATCCATCAATTGATGGTGATACTGATGATGATACAAATAATTTTTCTATTGATGAAGATTCGAATGATATACCAAATGGTAATTATAATAATAAAAATTATGAACGATGGGAACGTCCAACACCTATTCCACCACGACCAACACAATCATCTAGTATAAATAATAAAAAATCAACAATTGAAACATTAATATTACCAAGTTTTAATCGTTGTACACATTTGGGTAAATCAACAAAACGATCAGCTGGTGTTGAACGTATGTTTCCATCGTTTTCAAAACATAATTCGGGTCCATCATCAACACTTAGTTTAATTCTATATGGATTATCATCAACTCCTTGAGTAAACTAATGTATCTTTTTTTTTTCTTGTTTTGTTTTGTTGTTGTATTATTGATATGTCTTTTGTTACCTAATACATTTCTTTGGTGTTTTTTTGTATCTATATATGTGTATTGTCTACTATGTTTCTTTGTTTTTCAGATGTATATCAGCCATGGTAATGTAATTTTATGATTCTCTTATATTGGTTACATCAATTAAGTAAGTTTATAAGAAAAAATTGACTTTGAAATATTATTTCGCTTCTTATATAAAATAGGCTTTGATGAGAGTAGAGAAAATCTAAAATAATATAATGATCAAGAGTTAAAATCTTTATAGAGTCATAGTCATTTTCCTTAAGGTATTTGATATATTGATTTTGATACAAAGGAAATATTGAATAAAAGCACCTTACTCATTTTCCTAGCTTCTCTTTGAGTTTACTCAAGGACAGGAGAAAAAACTCTTAAACTAGGATAAAAAATTTTATTACCTTTTTTTGCATCATTCTAACACTTTTATGCTGCGAATAACTAGTAGGACTGAGAAATTCACCATTACTGTTGGAGAATGATTTCTATCGCTCTATATTGTCTAAAGTTTTTTTTTTTTTGAAAATTCACTCCGTCAGAAAAAAAAGAAACATTTCTTCTAATTGACATGTTTCAGAATATACAAAAATCGATTGTTCTTGATTGTTTTATTAATCTTACTGTATCTGTATTTATATGGTTGACTATAATGTACTCTCAGAAAAGCTGCAAGTTGGCAACGAAGAGAGTTCAATGATCCAAACCAGTAAAACAGCTAACACACACATACACAATGAGATAATCCACTCATAAAGTATTCTGTCAACCAACTCATTTGAAGTGTAAGCTCAATTGTATTGAAAGACATATACTCTTCATTGAAGCAAATTGTCATCAATCATATACTACACTACAATAAAACACTTTAACCATTCTTGTCACTAACATTCACTTGAGACCAAAAGGATTCGATACGAAAAAATGAGAAGATGAGGAGAAAATTTTTGCTCAGAGATATATATGAATTATTTGTATTTCTTCTTTTACAGAATGACATCAAACACTGTAATTATTGAGAATCCTCCTACCACTAATGGTCAAATATTATCTACAAAGAATAAACTAAACGAATTTTATTCAACATATAAAAGTCATTCATCATCACCGAATATTTCTCGTTCATCATCATTTTCATCAATACATTCTGTTTCATCAGCTTCATCTTGTTTATCAAATAAACCTAATTCAGATTCTTCAGTAAATAAAACAAATTCTAATTCAATATTATCTTCTAATCATCGTAAAGAATCAATATTAAAACTTCCATATCCAGTTTTATCTGATCATCGTGATCCATCATCAATACTTGTTTTATTACAAAAAGAAACTCAAACAACATCAAAAAAAATTTCTAATGTTATTAAACAAATTGAAGATTATGAACAACGTTTAAGATTAAATATTTATACAGATAATGAAAAAAAAACTTTTAAATATGAACGTGTTAAATTAAAACAACAATTAGATGCATTAAAAAAACATGAACGTCGTGTTAGTTTACAAATTGATTTTATAACAACTAAAACAGAAATAAAAGGTTTAGAAGATGAACAAAAACAAACAGAAAATAATCAAAATTCAGATGAAAGTCAACAAATAAAAATTTTATTAGGAAAATTAAAACAAAAATTAGATAAAATGAAAATTTATATGAAAACAAGAAATGAACAAATGAAAAAAATTAATAATACTACACAAAATTTAACTAATTCAAATAATAATCGAAAATCATCAATATCATCTAGTCAAAAACAGCAAAATTTTTATTCATCGTCAACAAAAGATTTGGTAATACTCTAGATACATGATAACTATCACAAGAGTAAACTAAACAGTTTATGTATTAAAATCTATCATTTTCAAAAAGTTGACTTTCTCTAGAGAAATGCAGAGTAACTTACTCTGTACATCTCAAATTTTCTCGTGAAACTATTGATTATAAGATTAATATAATACCACACACAACGTCTAGTTCTGCACTATTTCTATTGGTTTTGTAATAGATGTTTTTGAGAATTTGTCAAGAAAAACAAATTTAATTAAATATTTATCTAGTGTGTGTTTCGAAATGAAAACTAAATTTTTTTCATCCCATCTGAAAATTCTGTTATTATTAGTCTAGAGTGTTCACGATGGTTTTAAAATAATACGGAGATATAATTATATTTGATAAATTTTCACTCAAAAAAAAAAGTTAAAAAATATTTGACCTTGTAAAAAACGTAATTGAAGATATCTACTTTTTGTTCTTTCATATGATGATATATCATGATAAAAATAAAATATCTGTTCTAGAACACAAATAGATTGTATGCCAATATATATATTTGTTATTATAGAATCGGAAACGTCCTTCAACTTCCGTAAATAATTGTCATTCGAACAAACGTGTAAAACCGACAGTACCTATTATTCGTTTAACATCTCGTGTAACAAGTCATGATTTAAACAAACATTCAACACAACCACCAATTGTACGATTTATTAATAAAACAACAGATTCAACAATTACAACGATCAATTCAGCATCTCCGACAACACCAGCGTCATCATCATCAACTTTATCACCACCGTTAATTGCAAGTACAAGTCTTGGATATACCAATAATAATCAAAATTCTCTAGAACAGGTAATTTATATTGTTTAATAAAAAATTTTATTATTTTATTTTGTTTTTTTTTTAGAATGAAATTCCATCAGTTGATGATAATGATGATGACAATGAACTTGATCTTGAACTTGATATGGATGAACTATTTAATGATGAGTCATGTTCAGAACAAACAATACACAGATTAAAAGCCGAAAGAAATGAAATAACACGTCAACTTCAAGTCAAACAGAATACTTAATAATAAACAATCATAAAAGGAAATGAAAATGTATATAATTTTTCTTCTTTTGTTTTTGTATGTGTTCAAATCTCGTTTTGTTTTTGCCCGGTCCTTTTTCTTTTTGTTTGTTACTATGAGCTACTGCTATTTTTTTTTTAAACTTGTCATTATTCTATTCATTGATCTAGATGATGATCACCATTCTTGTTGTTCTTCATTCTTTGACATAATATCCGTGTGTTCTGTCACTTGTAGTCGTAAAAGAAGTAAAGAAAAAAAACATGAACCATCAGTGTCATTGTAAAATGTGTGACATGATGATTGAAAACATAAAACGATTGTTGTATCGTAATGAAGGAATATTTTTGACATTGCTTTTATAGATTATTAGTTAAAAATAAAGTACGATTAATCCATCAGTATCAATTACACAAGAAAAACCCAAAAAAATCACGTATTACATTTCGTTTCATATGAATATACAAGTTAGTTGAACAATAAATATTATTAAAATATTTCATGAAACAATACGTTCGTCACAGGGTAATATGAATAGTATTAATCTACACAGAATTATTATTCTATTGATTAAAATACGCAAGATTGAGTAGACATAGTTTATTTCTTATATTGATCAGATTATTGATAGGGCAAGAAGCGTAATCGAAATAAACTCAGCTAGATCACTAATTTACTCACGAACGTTCATATCACGAAGAAAGAATTAATAAATGCGAATGTTTGAGGAACATAATAATTCTACGTTTTTTGAATTGGTTTGTTGCAAGATATTATTTTCTAATTCTAATAGACACAAATATTTACTGTATTGAGATACTGTTAACTAAAATAATTTGACTGATTACAAAATTATTATTAATTCATACAGTGGAAGCAATGATAAATGTTAAAAATAGAAGGTGACACAACCAAACCTTTGAATGTCTTCCTCAGAGATCATCTTAAAAAATAAATAGCGAGAAATATTTTTTCAGAATTTTTCATTTTTTTTTTAATCTGAAACAATTTACTTATTTGAAGCATAATTTACTAATCAAAATCAATTCATTTATCAGTTAATGATGCTGATTCTAATGATATATGATCTTTGTGTCTTGTTACAAATATCGTTGTACAAAGAAAAACATTTGACACAACAGAAGATTGTCGTACTATTTTAGTTATCAAGAAATAATATGAAAAAGAACTATTTTTGAATAATATCAGCTGGCGCAAAAGAAAAACGATTTTACAAGCTGCTATTCAGAGTACAAAGCACAGGAGAGATAATGATAATATTGGAGCATCATGAAAGGAAAAAAGATTTTTATCTATTTTGACATTTATTATAAAAATTTATTTTCTTGAATATATACAAATTTATATAAAGTTTGTTGTAGATATTGTTTTGTCAGAAAAACAAAGATGACATTAACATTTAAATGTTCTCAAAATAATTTTATGATCAAAAATTTAAATATTGTTTCATTTGGAGGTGAAGTATAGTTAAAAACAAAAAAACCTATAAAAACACACATAATGACTTCTGTTTTAGATTGTTTTGGTTCTATTATCGCATGTATGGCTTTTGCACTATTGATTGAATTAAATCGAGGTATTGATCTTTATCTTCGACATTATTCAGTAACTAGAAGTAATGTTAATTCACATCAAGCAAATACTTTATCGGAAAAAACAATCCGAAGACGACGGTATTTCGACGAGGAAATTTAGATTCTATAAGTTTCATGCTATTTCCTTCAGATTTATACTCCATTTATTACGTACTCTTGTGCATTTGGCTCAAACTGGTTTGAGTTACCTTTTAATGTTAATCGTCATGAACAATTTTGCTGGTTTTTTTCTTTCTGCTATAATTGGTACGATCATTTATTCCTTCAAATGATTTGTCTATACATTTACATATTCATTTATCTAGCTCTAGGAATCGGTTATTATCTTTTAAATGGTGTTCATCCATATACACACAGTGCTAATCATCTTCATGCATCGAATACAAATAGTGATCTTACAATTCCAACAGATGTTTTAAATGAAGATGATGAAACATCAGTCGCAACGCAAACAACTGACTCAAATCAAAGAATGACGTCGATAAACACTTGATAAATTTTCATACACTATTGTCTTTGCTATTGTTGCATGTTGCTAACAACTAAACTATATACACTTTGTTTGCGTCGTTCATCTATTTTTTTGTCATATCTCAGTAATTCAATACAATACAAATGTTGTCAATTAATTGAATATTGAGTCATGTAAATCTTCATCAATAGAAACCTTAGATATCGGGAATAAAATATATTACAGAAACAAAATAACTACTAAAAGAATCTAGAAAAAGTTATCTTGGCATACGTCAATATGACTGATCAGTGGATGTAGACAAAGCACAGTATGGCATATCTGTTTATAATAATGATAACACTAAAGAAAAACATATCAATACATGACATATAAAAAATAAAAGCAATCAATAGAACATGATCTTATTTGTTTGCATTAATTTAATATTAACAAACCCTTTTAAAAGTAGAATATAAATTTTAAAACCAGTTCATCACTATAATTCAAAACTAAATCAATTATATATGCACACATCTTAATTGACTCATACTTCAAGTAAAGCATATGAGGCTCTTATTTCCTCCAAAATTGAACGCAAGACTAATCAATGAGGAATACTTAAACAAAAAAGTTTTTATTCAATACTCTACAGTTATACACATTTAAATAATATAATAATATTTAAATCCAATCAATTTCAGTTAGAGTAATTCAAAACTCAAATGATCAATATTTTGCTAGCGATTGGTCGAGTCACTATACTGCTTTCACACGTCAAGAATAACTCATTTAACTTCAATGAGCCATGTGTCGTCTTATTAACAACAGTCTAAAACTAAACTTGCTGCTCTTTTGAAACAAGAATAATTGCAATGACGAGTTAACACAAGGCGATGAAGGTTAACAGTCGTTGCCTATAATTGTAAAAAGACCAAGTAGACCACTATTGATTATCTTTTAAAAAGATGATACATGACTGACCGAAAAACTTTTCCTAATGTTTTAAAATACGTATATTCAAGTCATGTTATGAATCTCTTTAGCAAAGATCAAATCGATTTAGTAGCCAAAAAACAGATGATCCTCTTTAGAGTAATGGTCCTTATTTTATTCAGATCTTAATAAGTCTTCTAGCAATAGAATAAACCCATTATCAAGCTCCCCGAAGAATCTTAGGTAACAACAAAACTGATGGTGGGTATGGGATGCCAATGTTGGTGCGAGTCTGGTTGCAGATATTGTTGTGTGTTGAATGTGGATGAATAGAAGACATTTGCATATTCGCTCACACTCAAGCTGATGCCCATAACTACACGCACACCCATAGCTAATAGAATTCGCCACGAAGAGCTGTCGCGTAGTTCTAGCTCCTTATAAAAGAGCTTTCTACTGATTTTTGAGCTTTACATCATTCCAAAACAACTTTTCATCAGCTAGGGTTTTTAAAAAGGAATACTACTGCTGTCCTCATTAAGAGAAGTCATGAGAAAATAATGGTGCATAAGCCTATTTTAATCATGTATTCCATAAGTATTTATTAGATGCTATTGACGTAAAAAGTTAAAGAACACCAGTACAATTTCATGTGCTGCAAACGCTGTCAGGAAAGGCTTTTACTTAGCTTCAATTCCCTACAAATGAGCTCATTATCGGTTTAAGACTTTCGGAAGAGGACTAGTCAATTCGTTCTTCTCAAAAAAGCTTGAATTCGCTTACAAAATCGTTCAAAACAGGTAGTTGTAGCATTGTGATACTCCTGACTAGTACCAAAAAAATAGTGACTTTTGTCAGTATTCATATTTTCTATGTAGGATGTGGGCGATGTGTGGATGTTAGTGTGCATGTAGGCCTGAGTGAAAGCGAATGTGTATGTGAATGCAGACATACCCATATCTAGACTCACACTCACACTCCACATCTTGATTATGAGTGCATGAGCGTTGATATGTGAGTGTAAGGGTAGAACAAGAGGAAGTTCACACCCAAATCTCGTACCTAACAGGTACATCTCACAATCACATCCTTAATGAAAAATAAGCCGTTGCATAAATAGATCTCAAGACAAGACGAAAAACAATTAGAAGATATGGAAACTGATATGTTGTATTTTGATTCACACTGATCTCCTTTGTCATTTGACACATCTCTAACAACGTTCAATTCCATTGATACTTAAAGTTCATCCTTATAGCTAAAAATAAATTTTTAGACAATGAATAATGAAGACTTAGCATTTCTGTTTCAAAGAACACAATGACACACCATTCTTCATGCCTGAAACATGTAATAAATCGTTGCTGGTATTGGATTACATACAAATTTCCTTCGTTGCATTTTTGAATAATTACGAATCAATATTCGAATAACAGTTTCATTACAAAAGAATTTTTTGAACTTGAAATGTAACTTGATCACCCTAAAACATTTGTATTATAAGATGTTTTTATTATTATTTTTGATGTGTTGGTATTCGAAATTCAATTGTTGAAGTAATATGAAACCACCACTTAAAGTATCCAAAACATTTTGACTGCAACGGCTTAAGGCAGGCATATAGTTTTTTTGTGATAAATTGACCTAGACATGAAACTATATATTGTATTTGACTCGCAACCAATCAACCTGTACAAAATAAAATAGGATTTAAAGATGGCTCACAGCAAAAACATCTTTTATTCGAAACTCGTTACTAGCTTATGTCTCAGTTTCAATAATTGGTACCACAGCAAAAGTGAGAAATCAATAGTGTAAAGACAGCTGATAATGCCTACCTTGTTTAGGTGTGGATGCGGGTGGGTGTAGATGAATTGCAGATTCATACCCTTTTTTTTTATACGAAAAATTCAGACTTAGAGTAGTCTTAATAAGAGGTTTGTAATTTTTTAGATGAATGTTTCATTGACACGTGTTTCGGTTTAAGTAGTTTGTTTCGAAATATCATAAAAATTAAACAAATTATCAAAGTAATATTAGTAAGAAATATTCAACCAAAAAATAAAATAAAAATATTTGGTCACATAATGAACAAGTAAGGATGATGAAATAAAGAATATAGAATCACACTTAGAGAAGTCTCTATACAATTGAATGTAGATGATTAAATGAATGGGTTAATGTTAGTTTCTTAGATTGAGCATTAGCTTTATACAAAAAAATCGATATTTTCTTTTCAATAACTGATTATTCTTGATGGAAGTGTTGCCATCGATTATTTATTTCAGCGGTGCTTCATCGATCATTGAACAGTACATCTGATTCATCATTTTGTACTGTTACTTCACAAAATACCTGAAGCCATCGATAACTTGTCTTTCCATCAAGTTCATTTACTTAATAACTATGCAAATGTCAAAATCTGGTAGCTGTGAGTAAATAAATGGGCTTCCGCAGAAGTGCAATAATAATGTTGACTTGAAGTATTAATTGTTGATGAGTACTAACCATGTCAACAAGGAAGGAAAAAAAGTATTTGAGTATGAGTGGGTACTGTTGTAAGTAAGATATCATCTCTTTGCCTAAACCCTTTTTCTGATAATAGTATTGATTCTCAGATACCAGGAAAATCACGAATATCTCTTCATCATGATCAAACAGCAATGATACAGTATCTGTAAATAGGCTGATGCAACTACAGAGTTTATGAGACGCACGATTCTCTGTAATTCAACTAGAAAAAACAAAAATTGTGTACAACGTGCATTCTTTGTATGGATTACTACATCTATGAAATAAGTTCGAATTGAAAAATACAAAAACTGGTTAGTAGGCTTCGATCAATGACAGCCGATAAACTGACACATAACTCAATACAGTATAACTAGGATCTAGTCAGATGTATCTAAGATGTGTGTAGTATTTTATAAGCTTTCAAGCGGTTTTTCTTTTATTCGTTCTCTAGATCTTTCGGATATAACATCGATAATTAAAATTTTTAAGAAATACAACTCGTTTTCCTCGTATAGGTGAAGATTCTCTCGTTTTCTTTTTCGTTCAGAAAATATTTTAAACTTCAAGTTTTAAAAGCGGCAGATACTAATAATACACACGAATATGCAATTTTGTGCGTGCTTCATGAGACTTTCATGATCGCAAGAGGTGGAAGAGTGAAAGTGATAAGCTTCAGCAGATAATTTTAAAAGGAAAGAAGGTAATTTTTCAACCTCTATTATACAAATTTGCATCATGTTGACGTAAACAGAGGTCACTCTATTACCGCTAACTATTCTTATTACTCACTATTGATTTCTTTCTTTTTTTTCTTTCTTCTCATCTCTCATCAGTTGTTCTTCTGTGTTTCCTCTGATTCATACCGATGGTTACTTTTTTTCTCAACAGTTGTTATTTTTGATTTCGCTTCTTCTTTCTATCTTCTTTCATTATTATAATCTTTGATTTTATTTTATTCATAGAACCGCATCATCAACATCAACACACGGTAGGCATTTTATCTTTTTTACGTTAGATGTCTCCATCGTTTAGTAGACCGAGGTCTAGATTTAGTTGTCTTGCGAACTGCACTTTAGTATGAATAGTAGCATTTGTCAACAAGATTGACAGAGAGTCTCACACATTAACAATAATCATCATTGATCGTAAATGTGAGAACATTGAATGGTATTAGTTTTCATGCATGATTCATCATAGTCTGACGTATTTCTCGAATTGCTAAGTCCTGATATGTCAGATCATGATGAGTCTGCTCTTATTCGATAGTGCAAGTCAGCATCTACTAGACTTCAACAAAAGAGCACTTAGACGTCAGTTGATATGAATCTTTTCTGTTTTTCAAAGGTTACGTGGTGTTCCACGTATTCTATTGTAGTGTTGGGGAACCTTTTAAAGATTTTAATTGATCCCTTTTGGAAAGATATATTACCATTCCATAGGATTTTTCAAATTTAATTCGGCGTCTAAATGACGTCGGTTGGACAAGGTTGTAGGCCAAATCTATTTGGCGAACAATTACATTCAGATCTATGATATGCTAAATCTTCAAGGGTGTGGATGGTTGTGTAAGCGGGATGAAAGGTTACATGTGAAGTTTCCCTTGATGGATCCATCCACCAACCTACCCATCCATTCAAACTCTGCTATTGAAATTAAAAATCATCAATGCAAGAAGTTTTCATTTCTGTAGATGAGGTGGCACTCATCAATCAACCGTGCATATAATTACTTAGGTATGATCTGCTCCAAAGACAAGCTCAGTAAGCCCTGACATTGACTTTATTTCCCAATGTTGGACTTTATATTTACCAGTTGCAACTTTTGTTTTTTTGCATTTTTGTGTTGGTGACGGCGATAAGACATTCGTCATGTGATTTCACAACATCAAGAAGGAAAAAAACATAGGAAGAAAATAAATAAAGTCGACATAGAACATTTTCTGCAGTGAGTAGTATGCAGCGAGTGACTGTAAATCATATCAAGTTTTTTTCTTCATTAGTATTTCAACCAAGCTCATAAGGGTTTCAATAGGTATGTACGCAGAAATGAGAATTCATGGGCAAATATCGTACTCTTAATTACTTACAGCATACAAATTTTGGTTTAATTTGCAATGCTTTAAGAAGTCTGTTCACGAAACAGCTTGTGTATATCGAAAACTGAGATAATAACGTTTCTTTACCCTAACATGTAGACTAATAGATGGTGCATTTAGAGTATTGAACACCGATTACATAGAAAACGTTTGTGTAAGTTATCCTTATGATTTGAATTTGATGTACACTTGGATTATCATATAGAGCGGAAATAGAATGAAAATCTGGATGTTGTTAAATATTAGCTGCAAATGTCAAGAAGAAATATTTCTGACATGAGTTCAAGCTCATATTATATAGAGGAATAAACAGCATAAGTGACACCGTAAAATGTGGAAGATTGAAATTCATTTTATCTAGTCTTTATTAGAATAGTTGTTCGCGTTTAGTTAGAGAATAAACTGATGTTGTCGAAGTATTGCGTTTATCTGATCACCATAAAATGAAGTGGTTATGATTAATCGAGTGCTGATAAAGTTGATGAATTAGAACGTACCATAACATTCAAACAATGTAAGTATTATAATTGCGGTCGTAATAAATTGGCATGCATTTAGCAGAGTAATTACCTAATGCGAGTTATAATATAAATGAAGCTCAAAAAAAAAAATCAAAAGGGTCGCAAATTCGGAAAATCATTAAAAAAAGCTATTTCTTCATTTATCATTTATGATAGCTATGATAAACGACGACGATTCATCGTATGTTTTCTGAAACAAGAAGTTTGAAATGTATATCAACAATTTTTTTATTAGGTGTGTTTGATATGATTTTTTTTGTTATTTGAAAAGAGTATTCAGGATTGTCAAACGATTTTTCTCTGCAGTTTTAACAGAAAACATACGTGCATAGTTGCTGAGCGACCTGCCGCAGCATAAGAAAGCAGAAATTCTTTAGTCTTACAAAGAAGTTATTTCAATAATTCTATGTTGTTGTCTTTTTATAGTGTTACCATGAAGATATATATCAAAACATATATTGGAAAAGAACAAATCTTCCAGTTTGACGTCGAGCTATCTACTACTACAATTAAACAGCTAAAACAGCTGATTTGTGAAAAAGTTAATATTAATGAGAAAGATTCACAACATGTGTATTTCATTTTCGACGGTGATATACTCAACATTGATGAGGAAACACTGATGTCTTATGGTGTAGAAGAGAAATCTCGACTAGAACTCGCTGAATCTAGTGAAGATAGTTTTCGTGATCCAGGTATCCTAGGTGGTTGTGGAATGAAATTTGTCAATGTCAGCAATAGTGAAGGATTAAAACGATGTGAATGGGCTAAAACGGGTCCAGAATGGCGAAGAGTGCGTGGCGGTTTGGTTTTTGAGGGTAAATGTAGGAATTCGACGTGCAAAGCAAAAAACGACATCGTCGCTATATCAATGGGTTACCGAACATTCGATGTTGTATGCGATAAAGATATTGCCAAAACTGTATGTCCTATATGCAAACAATATGTTCAACCAACAACCTGTGGTTTCAACAATTGCTGGTGGAGATTCGAGGGTATGAAACGGGATGGAGAGGGTAAACCACCCCAGTTTTGTCAAAGCGACTGGAAACAAGCTGATAATGCATATCATTATTTCGATAAAAATATAAGTGGAGAGATTACATGGCTCCGGCTCACGCTCGAAGTGGTTAAAAAGATTCCTTCGTGATGAAGTTGTATTTTCTTATTCACGACTTAATTTATTACTAATGCTAGTTTGCATATTAAAGATGTTTATCTTGGATCCAAACAAAACAAGTTATAATTTTTTTGTTGGAGACAAAACAACTTTTTCATCAATGATTATTTTATAAACTAAATATAAGTAATCATTCTATGAAACGAGAAAAGTCGAAGTTTAGTTTTTCACCTAAAATAACATCTTCACCAACACTCACATACACAACGACAGCTGCAGCAACACCCACATTCACATCTTGATCTCCAAAGTCTTTAAAAAAATTCTCAAAGATAAACAGTGACTTTCTAAAACTGAGCATTTTTAAAACAGCTTCCTATAAAAAACATGTTCGCACGTCTAATGAGTTTCTCATTTCTCAAAAACTGTTACAATTTTCTAAAGCATTTACTATATCAAATATCTATTGAGTATTCTACATTTGAAACCACTTTTATATACTAAGATAGTTTCTAAGTTTTCCCGACATCAATCAAGAAAACTTTTTTTTGATCAGTTCTCTATATAACAATTTTTTGGCAAGATTAGATGATTTCTTGTAGTTCTAATTGGTAACTACATCGTGCTATTATTTTAAAAGTTAATTTGTTTAATGAACGTATCTAAAAATTTATTGGCTTTATGTATTTGTTGTTGTGAGCAACTTGATTAAAATCAATCTGCTCTTTATAGATCGACGATTCATAAAATTTTGACTGAAAGTATTTGATCGACTCGCGAAATATCACGGATTAATTACATTTGACAGATCTAAAAAGATCTTTGACAAAAACTAGAAACTCTCTATGGTATAAACCAAAATGATATTTTAGAAACCATTAAAACTAATATGGACAGGAAGTTTGAGGTAATGTAGACATCAATTTTATTTGGATGTTTAACGAAGCGAACAAATATTTTCAAGATGGGAACATAATTCTTGGTTTTTTTCTCTTGTTTCTATACAACGAAACTGAACATAAATTTATTTGTTGTTAAATTTTTTCCCATAGGTCTATCGTATAAAAAAAACTAGAAGTTGATAAATAAGGTCAGTTTCTGTCAACATTTCTCTATTTCGATTGTGTTATAAATTAAACCGAAATATATATTCACTTTACATATGTTCATGATCAAAATGCTATTCAAGACACAACTAGAGCACAGATATCACGGTAAAAATGAACGGTCGACTAGAGTCTTCAAGCTATTCTCCAAGTAAACATTCCTTTAATAATGTATGTTGAAAACAGTCAACCATGAGTCAGTGATAATATACAGTTTTTTGCAAATTTTTCTTTATTTTTGTGTGCTACAGGTGAGTATAAACTCTTTTCGTCCTAGTTTTTGCAATCTTTCATGATTGTGGTGAAAAGGAAAGTGTAAAAGTACGAACATAATTTTTTATGCTTCATTTTTGTAGACTATATCATACATTTCGTGACCCATATTAGGCGAAAATAAACTTGAATTTGCTGCTAAATCTACTTATCTTTCTAATCATTATATAAAAGTGCAGATTATTTATGTGTCTTTTTTGTATTCAATAGCTAAAACAATATTTTATATTCCATTCGTTGATTACTATAATAAATGTTTAACCCAATAGAATCATCACAAAGAATATTTTGTAGCTATGATAGAAGGGTGTTATTGAAGGGGTTGATGTGTTTTTTTTCTTAAACTACATCCAAGCAACTAGGCATGCCACATTCTAATTGACTTTCTTCTGGTTGACATTGGGGTTAGACGGGAGGGAGTGCCAGATTCATCACTTTATCGGGCAGAGTCTTTTCTCTTAAGGCTACAGAAAGATTCATGCAACCAATTCATGCTAATTTTGAACAAGCTATTACAGCTCGTAATCACGGCGTTGATCTTTATGTATATGAGAACTATTTTCAAGCATAAATAAGAAGTAGAGATGTGCGGAACTAGCTTCTTTCTCAGTATCCGATGGCCAAAACAGGACTAACTTATGGAAATTCCACGGTATCAGGGTTGAGACCGGCCTTAGAAATGAATACTCTTGTAAAGCTGATCACTTTTCTAAAAATCTTAAATTACTCACTATGAAAAACAAGGCTCCTCTAATGTTTTGTCGAACAACAGCTTCATGAATTTCGAGAAGTTTACGCCTTCAGCGTTTCCAATACTCTTTAGTATTCTAATATATATATTTTTGTAAATAACTATTCGTTATTCTGCAGTTACGAGACTGGGTATAAGATCGGAACCGAAGAGACATCTTTTTTAGTCTTGTTTCTTCGATAATGAAACAATGTTAAATTGTTTAGCCTTCAATTCTCTTTGAAAAATAAAACTTTAAATCAAAAAGAGAAAAAGGCCAAAATAAATTTTGTTTTCACATAAACAACTGAAATTATTTTCAAATTTTTGTTTCTGTTTTCTACTAATTCAAACAATAAAAAAACTAGTGAACAGTATTGAAGAAGTGAAAATTAATAACATGAAGTTTTTTTTTAACAAGTCAATTATTATTCATTTGTTCATAAAGTTGTTTCGCTGAGGAATCAGGTGTACAGTTATCTTCAGTTGTAGAATTAAATTTAGAATAATCAACAATATAATGGTCTTTATCAAAATGGATCATTCTTTCAAATCTAGCTCCCCAAATTATTTCTTCAGGCATATAAGAAGTTTTAGCTTGTGTAACCATTCCAGTTGGTTCTATTATTCCTTCAAGAACAAGTAAAATTTCAAATTTTTCTTTCAAAATTTGTTCTCTATTGATTTCATATAATGGACTTCGTGAATCAATTTTATGTTCAATAATAAGTGGCCAATTAAGGAATAAACGATCTTTTCCAGCATCATAACCAACATCCATATCGAGTAAGTTAAGAGGTATTGTTTCATTTTCTTTTGTTTGACGTTTTGAAACAAAATACATTCTTGTATGAGCTTCAACTAATGTTGATCGATGACGCATATCACCTAAACGAATTTGTAATGTTAATAATCCATCTCGAAGTGAAATAACAGCGTGTTGAGACCATATTAATGTTCGACGACGTTTTTTCGGACGAGATAATTTTGTATAAACAAGACCAACCCAAAGTGCTTGAATTACAAGACCAAAACAACTTTGAATTATTACAATAATAATTCCACCTGTACATTGTTCAGTTACAGCTCGTGTTCCATAACCAATTGTTTGTTGAGTTTCGATTGAATAGAGAAGAGCTCCACTGAATGATTTAACACCAGCAACACAAGGTGTGACTGTATTTTCATTTGCATTCACTGAATGATGAGAGAAGTCACCATGAATTGTCATTATAATATACCAAATAACAGCAAATAAAAGCCATGAGAGTACAAAACAAAAAACAAACCAAACTAAAACCCATATCCATGGTAAATCTAATACTGTGGTGAATATGTCTTTCAAATACCGATGACGATCATGGATATTTATTCTATAATTTACATATATTTTGATTTTATAAAAAAATTCAAATATTTAATGTTTACCTTTGAAAATTAATGTTTCCGTCTTTAGTAATAAGACGTTTTCGACCAGATAGTTTTACTAAAAATTATATATAGACAAAACATGCAACTGGTTTTCGTAGTTACCTGCTTTGCGTGTTGAATGAATCCTGAGTTATAATAAATCAATAGTTTTACCCTCTTCGAAAGGAAAAAAAATCAATACTCACGGATTAGCTAATGCATTAATTTGGAATATTCCATGATTTATTCTACTAGATTTGAACATCCTCAACTCAACCATTTAGAATATAATAGTATATTCACACGATATTGTTACTAGTCATACTATATGTATATCAATTATTAGGTTTTCTCACGTTTTTTTTCTTTACTAATGACTTCATAGAACGATTAATCATATATGAATGTGCGTCTTTTCTTTTCGTTGCATACAACAATTGCATAACACAACGTTAATGCCTATATTCAACTAAAGATATTCTATCAAATACGCACTACTATTTTGTTTTATTCAATGAGAAAATATACAATAGATTGGTATTTATCGATGTTCTATAAATATAATCGATCACAAAATAAGAAAGAAAAATGTTTAGAAAATACAGAAGATATTATTTACACTTGAAGTGCAAAAAATAAAGATAAAAAGGTATTATAGTAAAAAAAAGAATATCAAATCGAACAATGATGGGTTTATGGGGCGCAAGTATAGCTCTTTACTTCTCCCTAATCCACACAAATATATCTATGCCACACACTCCCGTATGACAAATCTTCTTGACATCGACAATGACAACAGACCTATTATTTCCAAGAGCTAAATATAACAACTCTTTAAATACAACTAAAGCTAGATGCTCCATCGACAATCTAAAAGATTTGATAGATACACACATGATGTTTACATGTTCAATAGTAATAGAAAATAGTTCGATGAAGATTCTGTCGCGTAAACAACGTATTATTTCCATTAATAAACTGAACTATGAGAAAATATTTTTTGGTTTCTTCTGTGTCTCCTACACGGTCACATGTGGTAACTAGATAATCACAAGAAGTCGAGATAGACAGGTAATTAGGTAGTATGATTTTTAATTCACTTAGCAAAGCTCTTTGATGATGATCGATTGCAAGTAAATATTTATCCATATCGAAATGAATAGCATCAATATCTATATGCTATTAAGCAAGACCAGAATGGATGGAAGGAGGACATTGAAATCAAACAGACATAGCCGTATGTTGATAAATGAGAGTGCATCAGTATTTCTTCTGCTAATCTATTTATGCGTAGCTGTCACTCCTATATGATCTTTTGGAAATGTATTCAAAGCTTTTTCAACTCATTGGAGAGGATTTTGTATTGTGGTCTCAAATGAGTTCCGACTCCTAGTTTGTAATAACATGTGGCAATATCAAATGATGTTCTTGTGTATCATCATGCGACACGCATCAAGAACACGTCGAAAAAATATGTTGACTTGATCTATACGTTCCATGCGATCAAGAATAGTAGAAAAAGTGAGCAATTTCATCAGATTGCTCACACTTCCATCTTTTACTTCACCTTTCAATATTTCAAGTAAATTTTTCAGTTCATTATCTCTATCACGGCATAAAGTCATCGAATCGATCAAACTATGATCATCTTTTTGATGTGAGTCTGTTAACCAAAAGTTAGAACTCAACATGAGTAAAACTTCGTACTCGGCATCACCAAACTGACTCAATTGCGTTATATCAGCAAAAATTTTGACACCGCAAGCCACTTGAGGATTGGCATCAATGACAAACAGAACTCCTTCTAAGCTGGTTGTTGTCTGGACACTAATAAAAATTTCGACGATCGTTCGCTCAAAACTTATTGATAATATTGTTTTCATAGAACTTACTTGACCAACAGATAACAAAAGTCTTTTCACTTCTTGTATAGATATATATTGTGCAAGATTAAAATTAAAAAGACGACCGAGACTGATTTTTTATGAGCTTTTGTCGAATGTGTCGAATAAGAAATTGTACAAAAAACATCATATCTATATTTATCACTGATAGTGTTATAGAATTTCAGAACCTCTGCCAATTTAGACATTCATTTTCGTTGTTGACTGTTCTAAGTTCAACATATTCTATTGGAAACTACTAAGTAGTGACATATTAAAATAATATCAATTTCAACAACAGTCGAAAGTTTCAACTTGTGATACAAGCTGTTCGAATGCAATATGTTTCACCTGACAATGAACTAAATTTTTTAAATAGGCTTTTATTTCAACTTCGAGAACTTTTAATTAACATAAAGATGTAGTGGTGGGCTTTACTAGTGACGAACACTGGTTTGATCTTTCAATTAGTACATCGTTAGGTTTATGATGTTTCAAATACTATATATTTTTTTGATGTCAAACAGTACTTTTTACCTTGATTGTGTTACATGAATTTAGCATCTTCTTTGAATATTAATTAGTGTGGTATACAAAAATATGTACGATTAGGCAAACATTTGAAATTCAAGGAATGGTTTTCTCCATTATTAAATTAATCAACAATGTAAACTATCTTGACGATCAGCGAAAAACTTTCAAGATAATTTTTTCACTCTAAATCATTGTAAAATAATTAGTTTGTGGTTTTCGCTAACCGATAATTGAAATATTGTTTCAATATCCAAGACCTTCGACTATTTAGTGTCCGATATACAGAAGCACGCGTAAGAAAGATTGTAAGAGTGAAGAATGTCGACTTATATGCGTACTTTTCACCTCCACATGACACCTTACAATAATAATTCTATAAAAACTTTTGTTAGTCTCTTTCAAATTCACATCTATTGTCCATTCGCTTTCAACTAGAAGATTTGACGAAGCCTTGCTATGTGCCTTTTTTGTCCGTTGATATTATAGTGACCTAATGCTTTGATAGAGGTGATATTTCCTAGTTCTACTGTCACGTCAGAAATTTCCCAAAATAAACGTTATTTCACTGTTTTCTGCATGACTATCGCATGTTTTTATCGCTCGTCTACTCATCTTTTACGAATATTTATTAAATATTTATCTATTCATAGACTTTCTATCAACATACGCTTTCTTTGTTAAGAATCTATGATACATATTAAGATTCAGACTGCTCAAAAAGTATTAATGCATCAATTTTCTTTTGAGGAACAATGCAATCAGGAAACTAGCTCGCCTATTGTGAGTTTACGTGTGGATGTATGGATGGTTGAGATTGCCAGTGTAGTTCTTATCATCAGACACTCAAATTTTCACTTATTCTTTGGTTTGAGCCACACTAATAGTTTTTGTTATCTATTCTGCTCACGTTCAGTAGTGGGATTGGCCTTGTCTGAGGATGCGGATGTGTGGGCGTCAGTATAGATGCAAATGTGAATGGCATTGACTAATTTTCAGAATTGTTCTTATACATAATAATAATACTGTTAAAATAATTTTTTTATGATAAATAGACCACGATAATTGTATAAAATGCAATTTACATCAGTCCTAGCTTTTTTCATTTATAATTGAAAACTGGACAAATGTATATGCAAAATATAAAAATTGAACTAAAATTAGTAATGCAATTTCTAAAACAAATTTGATTACTGATAAAGTTTTGCGTCTCAATTTGGACGTAGTACAATTTTTTATACAATCTAGATCATTTTTACATAATTTAATTGTCAAAGTGATCAAACAGTACGCTCCATATTGAAAGATTTTCCAATTTAACATTTATCCAGTTTTTGAGATGAAAATAATTTTGAATTCAAGAAAAATATAATTGTTTCAAAATTACTTAGAAAAAAAACTTATAATTGAATAATAATTGATTTTTATTGCACAATACAAAAATAATTCATCGTTTGAAATTAACCAATGTCATTATATTATACACGATTGACATGAAAATGAATTGAAGAACATACTTTTATTATGCCTAAACTTGTATGTCTCTTTCTTAACTATGCTTGAATTAGTGCATTAACATTTCAATTATGAATATTAAAGCAATAATCCTTATCATATTGATCATGAAGAAGCAAAAACGGTATATTTGGTAATAACTATCTTTTCTTTAAGAATTATTCAAAAAAAAAGTGTAACCAACATGAATCTTATTTAATGATGAACAAGGAATATAATCATTATCAACAATAAGAATTAATTAAGACATTTACGTTCAAGATTTAAACATTGTTTTACTTTCACAAAAGAACATCGTACATTTAGTCTTGAAATACATAAAACCATACCTGAGTGTTGAATGAATGATTACACCCAGTATTATAAATCTGTCTTAACGATAACTCATAAGCGTGTTAATGAATATGAATTTTCTAATTTTGAAAAATATTTTAGTTAAATTTCATCTGGTCTTATTCATGTTTTACCTGATTCTAATGATTTTTCAATAGAAAATACATCGGTAATACGTTCATAAAATATATTTACATTTTAAACTGATCAAACAAAAGAATACTTTTTTGTACTATTGAATTTATTTAAACAATATAAACATCCAAAATAGTTTTTCGATCAAATACTATTAGACAACAAGTCAATTTATATTAATAAAATGAATAATTGAATATTTTCATGGAACAATTAATGACTGAAAAAATTATGCCAGCATAGACTTAATGAACAACAAATAACCATATGTAGACATAGAAAATTCTATTCATTGAATATCCCTATAGTGCATATCATGTTGAGTTCGTGATACTAATTATGTATATCATAAGCTTTCACGTGTGTTTATAAAACTAACTGACACAATATCATCTTTAATTTAAAATAAATTATAATAGTTTTATAAAATACATTTCAATACGTATATTTTAGACACTATAAAAATATAAAATAGATTTGATAATGATTTATTGGTTAACGTTACTGAATATCTAACATTATTGAATTTATGATCAGAAAGTCGAATTCAATATTGACTACATGTCAATTGTGGAATATTCTATTAGTCTGAAAATAAGAAAAAAAATTTACATAGTGAATAGCAAGGAAAAATATATAGTATATTTATATATTTCTAAAATCGTATAAATAATATTAACCTTCAATTTATCTTGTCATTAGATGACAGCTTTTAGTAGCTAAAAACAATCACAACTAAAATGCTATCAAAAATATCAAATTATGTCGAAATAAATCTAAATCAAAAAACAAAAAAAAAACTGTCAGTGTGCTTTTGTATAAATAAAGTATCGATTATCACAAGGTTCGATGAAATAGTATAAACATTGGTTGTTTTAATAATACTTCTTTTTATATATAAAAAATATTTATTCATATGTTTCTTAATAGACATCATTGCGTATATGTGCATATATGTTGGACATTTCCATGCTTGATTGATTTCACGATAGATTGGTATTTAAATGTAAGAAGTCATAACGCATAAGTAAGACAATGACTAACAATCAACAAGTAACAGTTGAATTATCGGAACATGAATATTTAAATGAAACAAATGAAAAATCTTTAAATATCTCGACAACAGATCAAACACAAACATCACCAAAAACGAGTCATACTGACCTAATTGTGACATTAATTCTTTTGATTATCATTGCTATTATACCAAGTAAAATATATGATTATAATCAGTAATATTTTATAATTAACAACTGATTTGTTTTGTCTTTTTTTTTATAGTTCTTGAAATATATATTGGACGTCGATATGCAAATAGTTGTCCACTTGATTGGCGTATTCCAATTTATTTAGTTGTAGCAGGTGCTGCTGCACTTATTGTTATACTTTTAGGTATTATTCAAACTTTTTTAAAAGCTAAAGTTTTTGTCAATCGTGCTAGAGAAAAATCTAATGTCGCTGCTACTATTAGTGCTATGTGTGTTACATGTCTTGCAAGCATACTTTTATTATTTCTCTTCGTTTGGTTTGTTTTCGGATGTTATTGGATATTTCGTTCATGGAATACTGTACAATATGTTGATGCAACTCAAAAAGATTATTGTCATCGGGTTCTTTATCGTTTTGCATTTTGGTTACTTTTAGGTGCTTTCTTTTCCCAAATTTTAGCTTGTGGTTATTCATATTTGAAAGTACATTTAGGAATAATGTCATGAAAGATGCCCGAATACCAGAATACACTAAAACATCTTGAAAAATTCGTCTTTTTATTTGTAATTGACTTCTTTTTTTTCATTTTGGACAAACTGTAAATATAAATATTATTAAACTTTTATTATCAACTAAAAAGTAAATAAAAAAATTGTTGATAAAACTAAACTGTGAACGCAATCAAATCTTGATTGTATTCGAAGCATATTTTTATATATTTACTCGATGAAAAGATGATTCATACAGTTCACCGAATATATTTATTCAATAAAAATTTTTATTTAAATTGTTTATCATGCGACGATAGATAATGATTTTAATTGGCATTAAATATTTATCCAGTATTCTATTTTGATTTCGATACAGATTCAATGACGAAATATGCGTAATTGAAATCAATGAATGAATGGTTAAAAAAATAGATCGTACACATATAAACATATATTCAGTCAATCTTTATTCCTTTCTTTCTATGAATGTTTTGTTTTCTATTCTCTATCATCATTTTCGCTATTTGAATATATGAAATGTCGTCATCACCAACACAAGATTTACTCGATCGAATCGACCGTTTACATTCAATGCTTGTCAGTGAATTACCCACTCTATCATTAATTAATCCACAACATTCAACATCAATTCTTCCTCGAACTATGATGAATTCTGTTGGTCCTTTATCAATTATTAATACTGAAAATAGTACACAACATGCTACATTTAAATCAGAAGCAATTGTAATCGATGAACTTCAACAATATATTAAAAAAATGGAACGAGAACGAGAAATACTTCTTCGATCTTATAGTATTATTCTTCAACTTTTAAAAAATAATAAGACGAAAAATGAAACAAATTTAATTGATTCTGATTATTCTGAACTTTTACATAATGATTAAAATTTAATTTCTATTCACAAAAATAAATAACATTTCTATTCAAAGTGTAGCTTTTCCTAACAATTAACTATTTCTATTTCTGTATTATGAATCATATAAAATACAATCAAAATTGTTTAAAAAGTCTGAATAGCAAATATTTCTTTTTGTAGATTTATTCTACATTGAATCAATTGATTTCAATATGGGACAGTTTGTTGTATTTTGTATGCATAAGAAGTACAATCAACTACTCTTTATGCTATTCATAATGACTAGACATACAATTTCTAGTAAGACATTCAAAAAAAAGGTGAAAAAAAAAAAGAAAGATGCAATACATAAATTGCGACCGCAGCAATATACTTGTCTTCACAATGCAAGTAAACATAAATGTAGATGACCTTGGTTGTATATAGATGAAAAAGAAGAAAAAGAAACGAAAAAAAATTTATGAAGTACAAAATATAAAAAAGCTTATTATGTTTTTTTGTATAAGTGATACAAGAATTGATTATTGTACAAAACTAATAGACTATTTCTAAACACTGATCTTTTAGTTTATATTCATAAGTAGAATTTTTTAAGTACTGTAAGACAATGACAAGTACTACTGAACAAACAGTTATTAATATGAAACAAAAACCAATCGTAGAAAATACTGTTGTGGTCAATGAACCAATAAATTCACAACAAGTATCACTTGAAACAGTTGTTGCCAATGTGGATAATCTTATTGTCAACGATGTAAAAAATGAGAAAATGCCAGAATCAGATCAATTACTAACCCGTGGTATTAGTAAAAAGGCATCAACTAAAAAGTCTTTTAAATCAGCGATACCACTTGTTACTGTTGTTATTATGATTATTCCACGTAAGTCATATGCTTTTTTTGATTACTATTCTCATAATATTTTACAAAAAAAATTGGATTCTATATTTTTATATATTTAAATCAAGGAGACTTTTTTTTGTATACTTATTATCGATTTTCTAACACTAGACATAGAAAAAAAATTAGATAAATTTATGATTTTGGTATTTTATCGTATTTCACAGTTTTACAATTAATTATTGGTTGGCACTATGCAAACAAATGCCCTTTTAATTGGCATATACCACATTATTTAGTTGTATCAGGTGTTATTGGACTTATTCTTATTACATTAAATGCGGTTTTAGATTTTTTGGCATCTCATGCTAAATCCATGTTAGATGATGCTACTGTTCGAGCGTCTCATTGTGGAGCTTGTTGTGGTATGTGTGGTCTGTTAATAGTTATTAGCGGTCTTATCATATTTCTCGTTGGTTGGTCTATTGCTGGATGCATTTGGGTATTTCGTGCATGGAATAAAATTCAATATGAAAATCCAGATCGATATGATTATTGTCATCCAACATTATATCGTTTTGCATATTGGCTATTTTTTCTATCAATTACATACATATTATTCTCCTGCTGCCGTATGTGTACCCAGGCACCTAAACAAATAACTAATAAGACAAAAGGCCCTGTTATACCTTCTGTGATAATAACAGAAGCATAATTAAGACTTTTTAGAATCTGTTAAAAACATTGGTTACTTTTTTATTATAAATAAGTTTATCATGTTTGACAAACACAATCATTCATATTGTCTCACTATATTAAAAGAGAAAACATGACAGAAAACAAAACATGAATTTATGCCGAAAATTTATGTACACAAGCAAAAAAAAGAAGCAAAAACATCATAAGTATGATTTGTCTTGTTCATTTCATTTTAATATCTCTATATAAAAGATAATTAACCAAAACACATGATATAGGCAACTTTACAATATCTTTTCGTTTAATACCACAATAAGTATTTATTGCTAATCGACATAAACATTTTAATGATAATGGTTGACTTGTGAATAATGTTGAAAGTGTTGAAAAAAGATGAACATCACCATTACGATTACTTATAGCCATAGTATGACTATCAGGTGTTGTTGCAACGCAAAAAACATTGCTTTCTGTTTGTTCAAATATCGGTTTCGATGAATCATTTAATACTAAAGGAAACCAACGTACTTTGCTAAAAAGATGAAAATTATATTTTTTCTTAAACACCTCTCTCACATTCTTACTTATCATCACAAGCAGTAATTAGAAAATGATTAAATTTTGTAATAGCAACAGATCGAACAAATGCCCCATTATCACCACCAGCATAAATTTTTAATGGTATTGGAACTTGATGTGCGAATGACTTTATAATTTCACCAGTTGTTGTTGACCACATTAAAACACGTGTATCATGAGAAGCAGTTACTAATAAGGCACTGAATTAAAGAGAAAAAAAATAATAAGAAATAAGAAAAAAAATATATTAAATAATACCTATCCGATGAAAATGCACAATCAACAACAGTATGTAAATGTCCATCTAAATCAAATAATTTTGTCCATGTTGCTGTATCAAATAATACAACTAGTTCATATGGACCTACAGCACATAAAAGTGTTTCATCTGGTGACCATTTTACTGTATTGATTGCATGAGTCCATTCATTTAATGTTGTATACATATTACCTGAGATTAGAAAATTAAAAAAAACGGACATTCAGACAGATGTCACTATTAGAACAATTTAAAATAAAACAGGTAAAATGAATACTGATTATTTATCAAAAAAAAGTAAATAAAAATAAAAATAAATAATGATATAACTTAAAAACTAACCATGTCAAAAATGTTTTTAAGGTAAGATCAAAGTTTAATTTTAAGTAAGGAATAACTAATGGAGTTAGTGATGATAGAGAACTTGAAACATGTAAATAAACAGATTCAATATTTATTGTACTGGCAAATATTTTTTTTTTCTGTGATCTAGATATGAACCAAATATAATCGAAATTTTTACTCCTATAAATATTAATCATTGTAGACTGTTTTATACTCTTTAAAACCGATGTTAAAATTAACGAATGTTGTTCTCCTCGAGTGAAACAACAATTCTTTTAAATTTTGATACTATAAATTGTACTAATAGATTTCGTAAAGCTATATTTTCTGGACAAAATTGAAGTACTAATAAAAAAACGTTCTACATTTGGAATTAATAATTAAATTGAGTAAAAAAAAACACAAATAAGAAGACTTTCCAACATTTAATTTTTATTATATGAGTTATTTATTTTTTTCTTACCATCATCAAGTAAATCCCATAATTTAATAGTCGTATCATGTGAACATGATGCTAATTGCATGGTACACGCTGTAAAATCTAATCCACATACAGGTAATTGATGATCTTTAAGTATTAATGTTAATTCGCCAGTAGCAACATTCCAAATATTTATTTTTCCATCGGCAAGACCAGCAGCTAGAAATAAATTTTTGGTAAAATCATATCGACGATTAACAACTGAAAAACTTGAACGACGTCCTCCACCAAGTGAATCTCGTCGACCAAATGAATATCGTCGACCAAATGAATCACGTCGTGCTGTTAGCATAGATAAATGATCTCTATCACTTAAAATTGAGTTCGTTACAGAATTTAATTTTGATGTTCTTTGACCAAATGCTAATGACCATATTGCTGATGTACAAGTAAATTGATTGTGTATACATAAATCACTATTTGTAACATTGTTTGAATGCCAATTCGAACAATGAATAACAAGCACACAATATTGACCATCAATATCTTGTTTTGGTATAGCCAAATATTCAGAACATGGTGAAAATACTATTTTTCGTACATTATTGATTACAAAAGAAGATGAATTACAATAATCTTGTAATAATTGATCCACGGGCAATATACTAGGTTGTACTATTAAATAGAGTATAATTGAAAAATATTAACATATTAAAACATACCTAGTAAACGTTTAGACATAGATTAAAAAAATGACACAAATCTTCAATGAGAAAGATGAACTAATTGAAGATCTGTAATAAAAAATAAAAGTTTGTAAGACACGAAAGAAGTGACACCTTTCGAAGCAGAAATATTGAAAAGAGAAAAGATATTAACTATTACTTTACTTTTTTTTCTTTCGCCGTCGTCAGAATATTTTAGTTTAGAAGTAGTACGTGTTTATTTTTAGATATCATATCATGTCTCATCTATTCAGTATGCAACGATTATTTGCATTTCTTCTCGTCGTTTTCATTACTAATAGCAATGGTGATTCGAGCGATTTTCGTCCTCCAGCCGTACCATTAATCGTATTTAGTCCTCATATATCTGGTGAGTCACACTCGGATATTATATAAGATACAAAAAAAAAGACGAAAAAGTGTATCACGAAAGAACTATCAAAATAAGCTATTTGGCCTCACATTTTTATGCGTAAATTATTTTATATACTCAAATCTCTTGCTTTCTTCATTTTACAATCCGAAAAAGAGGTAAAAAGAATGCTCAGGTGATGCAATGAATCAAGTGTCATTTAGACGACGAAACGTAATCTTTGATGATTTTTTGATAAGACTATCAGTCTGTTCTTTCTTTTTTTTTTAAATGTAAAGTGAGTCATGATTACAGTTCTGTCACTAATAAAAACTAATACACAACGAAAGGGAAAGAAAGAAGTATATTGAGAATATTCGAGTAAGCAGATGCCGCAAGAACTCATGACTTAATTTGTTTTTTTTTCTAAACAAACTTACTGTATTATACAGCCAAACAATTTATAAATATAATAATAAAAGAATAGAATATTTATTGAAAAATAAACAACAAGTATCTTTTGCAATACAAATAAATTTCTTGACATGATTAATAGAATAACCTAACAAGGGGATATTATTAGCTTTCGATTGCAATTCAATTTCATGTAATGCATCAGAGATAGGTAGGGTTCGTGTTGTTCTTTATGGAATTGAGTCGAAAAAAATCTCAAAGCGAACTGATCCCATCACTATTATGAATAAAAGTAAGCTTTGATGAACTAAGAGAATTCTAGAAAAAATATAGTTCTGACGTTAGCCAAAATAGTAGCTCTATGCTACTAATGTTTATGATATTGATCTGATATTTTGGGTGTATGTATGCGACAATAAACCTAGATCACAAACGCTAACCTGTCCTGTATCAATTTCACATGTACTGGATTTATGATTTATATATGTTATTTTTCTTATAAAAAACATACTGACGAAATTCGAACTAGAGAGATAGTCACGACAGTGACCTTTCAAATGACGGGTCCAACGAAAATATTTGTGCTAACATGGTTGAAATTAGACGATTACTAGAAGAAGATGATATCTGAATCACAACTTCAATACATGTGATATTATAGAAGGTAGGTTGATGGTTGCCGTTAGGGCTAAACCAAGAACTGTATCTATTTATTTTTGAAAACAATGAATAATTTTAAAAAGAAAATTTCGAATCATTCTGATAATAATTAAATCTATCAACCAACAGTACCTTTAATTTCAATTTTTGCAAAATATTTTTTTATAGATAACAATGAAATCCAATAGTATATGATAGGAGTCAATAGTCTATCATCAATAGTAATATTTTAAAAAGTTTCATTTAATCAAAAGAAACATTTTTTTATATTATGTAACAGATGCATAAAATTTCAATGTTTTAGAATAATATTTTCCTATGCTTTATTAAATATTCTTGTTTTTTTTTAAATAGTTTGGTCTGTTTCGGACAATCTAACCGATTCTGATACTGTTCATTGGAGTGGATCACCTCTTGCCTTCCATGGTCTAATCGATATTGACAATTCTCAAGTATATCGTTTTCTTGGTACTCAACCATCAAATATTCCAGCTTTAATACAAAATAGTGTTGTTGTACAACCATGGCGTACAATTTATACATTTTCAACACCAACAAATACGCTTGAACTTGTTTTATCATTTAGTCAACCAACATCAATTGAAGATCCTTATACTTATATAACATTTGATGTTCGTACATTAGATCAAAAAACTCATAATGTTCGAATTTATTTTGAAGAAGGTCCCATGTTAAGTATCAATGATAAAAATGAAAAAATTTATTGGAATCGAATCGATGGAGATATAACTATATTAACAATGAATAGTTATAATCAAATTCCATTTGGTATACGTGGTGATGCAACACGAAATAATTGGGGTTATGCTCATTTAATAAGTGCAAATAAAAGTACAACAAATGGTTATCAAGGTTTTGGTGATAATCTTCGTCAAGCATTTGTTAATCATCAAATAATGCCAAATGATGATACACGAAAACCACGTCCTGCTGATGATCAATCACCTTCATCAGTATTTGTAATTAATTTAGATCAAGTTTCATCAAAATCAATATCATCATATTTAATATTTCTTTATGATGATCTTTATTCAATGTTATATTTTGAAGATTGGCAAATACCATGTTGGCGTGCTGAACTTGATAATAATATTACATTGCTTGTAAACGAAGCCGTTGAATATTATCATTCAAATATGGCTGATATTACAGATTCAAATGTATTATTAATGACATTATTAACAAATACAGGTGGTGCACAATATTCATTACTTGCATCACTTGTAACACGACAAGTAACAGGTGCAGTAACACGTACATGGTCGAATAAACATAATCGTCCACAATTATATATGAAAGAAATATCATCCGATGGTGATGTTAGTACAGTAGATGTCATTTTTCCATCATCACCATTTTTCCTTTGGTTACATCCAGAAATGTTACGTGATGTTCTTATACCGGTACTTGCTTATGCTAATAATGAAACAAGTATTGATTATAATTTAGCATGGGCACCTCATCATTTGTGAGTAAAATTTAATGTTTAATTCTTTTTTTTTAACCGGAAAATTTTACCTGTTTTTTCTTTTCAGAGGAACATGGCCAGTTTGTGATATTTTACCTGATGAACAAGAACAAATGCCTATGGAAGAATCAGCAAATATATTATTAATGCTAGCTGGTATTGTTCAAAGACTTCAAAAAACTGATTTTCTTCAACCTTATTGGAATGTTATGGAAATTTGGGCACAATATCTTAACAGTACATTGCCAGATCCAGGAAACCAACTTTGTACAGATGATTTCGTATGTAATCTTCGTTTAATTCTTATAAACAAAAAGAAAATAGTTAAATCATTCTTTTGATTTAGGAAGGACCGTCACCACATAATTGTAATTTAGCATTGAAAGGTATTTTAGGTTTAGGTGCATATGCAATTCTTTTAAATTCTACTGGTCAAACACAACGTGCTACGATATATATGAATCAAGCACAAGTACATGGTATGGTATTATTTACATATTACATTACGAATAGATAAAGAACGAAAGAACTCAATTATAGTCATATATATGGTAACAGAAGCAGTTCAGTCTAATAGCTTTTCTATTGAATTCTTTTTCAAATGATAAACCTTTCAACGTTAATTTGTATGCGTTGTTCTCCATATTAGAAAAAAAGTAATTTGTTTTTTAAACAATGTCCGTAGATTATAAATTCGAAAGTGCATGACTCGTTGTTTTCAAAATTTATTTCATAAAACTCGAAAGTCGTTAATTTAAAACTTATAACTCCTTACAAGAACAAGTATTAGGAATACAAGGCGTAAAATTATTTAATGAAGAATATAAATAGTATCATTTAATCAATATTAGATTTAGAAATGAGTACTCATTGATCCTCATGAAGATTCTTTAGATTAGATTGAGATTTGTTGGATACTGCTGAAAGTTTTATTGCAATGAACTGAATAAATTTGAACGGAAATAATTTTGATGTTCTTTTCATATTTTGTCTTTTGAAATATTCCTACAAGTTTTGAATCTTAGATCACTTACATGCCAATATTGTCCGTAAGTACTCCTTGTGAGTGTTTTATAATAAGATATTAAATAAACTAGACTGATAAAAGAATTTTTACTGTCTCTTGTTTCATCTTAAATTCGTTTATGTCTATACAAATTCAATAGAATCTATGAGAATTTGAGATAACATAGATATATATATTCATAATCATGACTTTTATTCGATTTACTTTGAAAAACAACGTCATATGCAATCGTCGTGAATACATCTAGTTACTCATAGTTTTTATCCTACTAATTTTCGTTTATATGGATCATGATTAGTAAAAAACGATTTTTGAACGCCAGGACTAATCGATACTGATCAAAGACAATACTAACATTAGTGAAAATTCACAATATCACTAGTTTTAATAGTAATTTGCCAGAAAATTTGAGGCTCTAGAGAAAGAAAAAAAATCATTTCGATGACGTTATTCGGGTCAAATTCCTAAACATAAAAGCTGGTAATTTAATAAATAAGTACATGGTATAAAATAAGAAAAGCACGATTCTCTTTACTATTATTTTTCTTTCTTTGTTAAAAAATAGCAAATTATTGGTTACAAGCCGCACGTGATGATGAAAACTATCGTCTTCAATATGATTTACCAAATACTTGGTCACAAAAATATAATCTTATTTATCAATCAATTTTATCATTAAATTTATTTCCATCTGATGTTGCTAAACTTGAATCAAATTATTATGCAACAAAAATGCTTGATTATGGTGTTCCACTTGATTCTCGTTCAAAATTAACTAAGACTGATTGGACATCATGGATAGCTGCATTTAGTGATAATAAAGAACAAGAAAATGAAATTTTTAGTAAAATATATAAATTTGCTAATGAATCACCAGATCGTATACCATTTAGTGATTTCTATAATGCATCTAATGGTCATGTATTAGGTTTTCGTGCACGACCAGTTATGGGTGGATTATTTATTCGAGTATTAATAGAAAGTCCACTTATAGAGAATATTTATATTCAATCGACAAAACCTTCGCAACGTCATGGACGAGTAAATAAATGCGATACATCATAATTATGTAACAATTGAATTTATTGACAAACACTTCATTTATTTCTTTTCAGTAGACTAAAACGAACAATTTTTATTTCTATTAGATTATTCTAAAATGATTTTTTTTTGGTGCAATATATGATTTTTAATTTATATGGACTCAAAGTTTTTTTTTTCTAATATACTAAAGGAATATTGAAATAAAATCAACATGTGTGTTTCTAGAAACCTGATTGATATCAAATCAAGGCACTATTACACTCGGCATGTGAAGCAGAAATGATATTTATAATTTCATATTTCATAAAGTAAAAAATTTCCGAGCATAACAACTAATTCTAATAAGGAAAGAGTCAAACATCTATAAAATGGTAATCAGTATCAGTTGAATGTTTACTAATTACATTATATTGTTTCGATGTATTCACGAACTTCAGTTTTTTTCATTCATTTGAAAGAACTAATAGTAGGAAATTTACGTAAATCTTCCGTTTTTATTTTTATTTGCAAATTGATCAGTTTGATATAGGATTGAACTAAGTTAAATACATAACTCTATTCTCGTATATTATTTAGACTTGCAGTATAATGATTGAGTAATGATCGAGGATGATATAATCAAGTAAGAATCTTGGCCAAGTAAAATATTCATATGTTTGACATTCAACACATATGTTGCTCTTCTTAGGTCTCTGGTATTCAAATTGATTATTGGATCGAATATATTAATCATCTGAGCAGATACGCGTACAACTGAATTCATATTTTTCTATTTCATAAAAAAGTCTTTCGATTATGAGATTTCTTCACTATGAATACTGCGACATAGTAGTACAGTTCAGCACTGGTCCAATTAGGAAAACAAGGTATCAAGATTGTGACATCTTTTTTATCACTAACAATTAGAAGATTCTACTATCATTACAGTTGATGGGATGAGAAACGAACATGTAGTAGAAATTTTTTTAACTTTTTTTCGAAATTACAGAATAAAACAAAGTATTGTTCAAACAAGTTAAAAAATACAAAATAATTTTTTTTCGCTTTGCGAAAAATTAAGGACTGTATAAACGTAGTCTACTTTAAAAGCTCTTAGTATTTAGCTCTAGCTCTATGCCATAATGTCTTTACATCTAAAGATCTTCATTTTTGATCATTCGTGACCAACAAGACCGCCTTCAACATGAAAACTATTAAGCAATATTAAAAGAAAGTACATTCTTCGACGATTTTTATTTGTTCAAAAGACTTGATAAAGCATAGCAGAATTATCAATCAGCTCGCAAAACACTGTTACCTAGCGGAATCAGATCAGTTGTACATGTTTTGGTTGCTGACAATTAAGGTACTGGTGAGTCATCGATAGCTTTAATACTTTCATAGGTAATTGTACGGAGAAACATTTTTGAACTTAACATAGCGATAGTTTTCTTCGTCAAAAGGCTGGAAAGTAAACTTCAGTTCATTGATCATGCTACACGATGTTTATAAGTATTAAATTGAATTGAATTGTACATGCAAATCAGTACACAAAACAAACACTTAAAAATCTCTCGTTAGTTTGAAACACGCATTAGCATGGACTGAATAATTTTCTGCAATCTGAACTCTCTGTTCAGCTTGAAAGATCGAATTAGAGAAAACTATATTTCAATAATAAATATTCCAATCTTGGCCAAGTTGATGACGACTATTTAATGCGACTCGTTGAATTTTCTATCTTTACTTTACGCTAGATTCCCGTTATACTCCATCGCTTGGTAAGTTCCATTATTATCAATAATAAAAAGCCGAATAGAATAGAAATAAAGAAGAACTCGACTGATAACATTTACATATATATTGACGTCCAATGTTGGATCGGAAAAGAGTTCTCTTTACAACTTTCATTAGTCTCTAGATAGATTTTGGATTCGAATTTTTATTGATGAACTGTGTTGAAACAATATCATTTCAGATAATAAAATCATTGATCAAGAAATTAAAGTAGGATTTATGAAGTTATGATTAAGTTTCTACAGAAGAACAGCTTCTATGGAAAATAATTCGTAAGTGTTTGAATATAAACTTAATTTCTTCATTGATAGTGCTTTTCAATATAGTTCCCGGCAACAATTCGAATCCATCATCTTTGTAAAAACTTATGAAAGTTTGAATGCTAACATATATAAATATATACAGTAGAATAAGATAACACAAATGTGTAAAATATTACATTGAAAAAAATGAAAACATGTTGTGACAACCTACGACACCTTTTGATCATTGTTTTTTCTTTTATATATTTATGATGAATATAATGTGGATGGATGGATTTAACTTTCTTTGATATTAATTTAAATTCCTTTCAAACGAAACTCAAGATAACATATCAGCGTGTTATTATTTATCGTTCAGTTTATAAAGAAAGTCAAAGGTTTCAATAATAACTAACTATGAAACTTTAAATTTCGTACATTCTCATGATAAAATATATGCTTTTTCAATGAAATTCTTAATTTTTCTTTTTTCAAAAGAAAAAGAATTCAATTTAATCGTTTATTATGTACGAAAACCTAATTGTTCATATTTATCCATCATTTTTGATAGAAAAAAAAGTATTTTTTGCATCTTTATACTCATTCTAGATTTACTATGACTAAATCAACTAAATCCGATGATAGAAAGACTAATACACCATTTTACGGTTTTGTATTTTGTACTTTTGTAATCATTCTTGCAAGTATTTTAATACAAACACGTAATTCTCCACCTGTAAACAAATATCTTTCTAAAACAATATCACCAAAAAAACCATATGAAACATTTGAAGAATTTTATCCACATTATCTTCGTGAACATAGTCAAAAAACAACTCGACAATGGCATTATGTTGGCACAACTCTTGTTATTATAAATGTTTTAATAAATCCTATTCTGTCAATTCCAATGATCGCTTCAGGGTTAGCTTCGTATTCTGTAATGCCATTCTTCCGTCATTTACCAAATGGCTTATATGAAATAGTTTTATTTGGAATAATTTATCTTATTGGTGGTAAATTATTAACGCGTTCGTTTATAAAAACACTTCTACCACTTTTATTTGGATATGGTTTTGCATGGATCGGTCATTTCTTTTATGAACATAATAAGCCCGCAACATTTATTTATCCATCTTATAGTTTGATGAGTGATTTTCGAATGATATATGATGCAATCAAAGGACAATTTTTTTAAGAATGTATTTTTTTTTTTTACTTAATGAAAATCAATCGATGCTAAATTTGTATTCTTTTTCATCTAATAATAATAAAACAATTTTTTTTAATTTGCAGATAGAACGAAAAAAAATAGAAATGAATTTATCAACTAATGATCTATCATTTTTAAGCGATCGGTGAGAGAGAGAAAGACAGAGAGATTTATTTCTGTAATATTGTTTTTCTTTTATTATGAAACTATAGTTCTCGACAACGATCAATGATATCAGCTGGTTTTCAATTATCATCATCATCAGCTAATTCACCATTTGAACAATATTCATCAAAATTACCAGCATCGGTTCGTGGAGCACTCAATCATACAACAGGTTGTATATAGATATAGGAATCAATATTGTCAAACAGACGAAATAAGCTTATATTAGTCTCGATAGATTTCAAAAATCATTCTTTTTGTCTAATCGTGCTATTTTAAATCCATCATTATAAGTATAGGATGTTCATTCTTTATTGTGAACAGTGTTTGTTTCAAAAGAAAGACCTGTACACGAAAATTTTCATAGACTCAGAAACTGAATTAAGAATCGCAGAAGTTCTTGCATATTTTCATATATATTAACCCTTTGAAGATCATGGCTTAGCCAATGGATGAAATTTCCTCCAGATATTGTATTTAATAAGGACACTGTTTATTGTAAATATTTTCATCAAAACCTTTTAAAAATCTTGAAAGTCATTTTTCAACCCATCTCCGTATTTTGTCACAGGGATGGCGAGAAAGTATTTTGGACATCGTTGTAGGAGAGTACGGATGTGAGTTGAATTTTGATTGAGAATATCACAAAGCCAAGCTTTGGAGTATCACTAGGAGTCACTGCTAATTTGATTCCAACACAAAATCGAAATATTTTGATGACCGCAAAGGACTCTTAGCTACTCTTCTCCTCTGTAGAATAGTGTTGGTGATCCAAAATTCCACGAGACTTACTAGTTCAGTGATCTCATTAGAATTAGAATTTTTATAGTGATCTATGTACTGAAGTCTCTTATATATTATAGAGAAAATCGCATGTCTATATCTTGTTGCATTCGCAAGTTATTCAAAAAATAACAAACTTGAAAAATGTGTACTTTATAAAGTACACTAGTCCCCAAAGAGTTAACTGTCATTCACTGATTTTCTTGTTAAATCTAATGAGAAAAAACTAGTAGTTGTTGACCCTATTATATTTTTATTACATACGAATATATAAGAAGTAGTTTTAAATACACTATATTGTGTATTTATATTCAGAGTAGATTTTCGATTTCGTTCGATTCTTTTTTTATACCCGAAAATGAAAATCTAACGAAAGAAATATTCAAATGTTTGATGTCATTTGACTTCTTATTATGGTTAGAATAGGTTCTTGTAAAACTTAAGAAAGCTTACAATACTCGGATGTATAGCCTACTGATGAAAAGCAATGACCGTTTTAATGCAGTTTTTACTGAAAACAAGTCATTTCTGAAAAACCCAAACAAAGCTTTGATCTGTAACTTTGTCTTTAGACTTATTTAATAATTATTAAATAATTTGCATACGTTCAAAAAAAAATAAGCATGTCTTTCTTGAGATATTTAGCTTCGAGATTGACTCGATTAATTTCTGCTCATATGGTAAATCGCTGTTGACTATGGAAATTAAATATCCTAAGAAAGATATGTTGATTTTTGTTGAAACTTTCCGAACTACATAATGAGTATTACATTTGCGTATTAAAAAAGAAAATTTCAGGTCAAAACTGTTTATTGTACATTTTTCAAAAGTATCATGTTTTCAGTAGAAACTTCATTAGAGCTGATATTACTATTCATCAGAATCGTTTCAAACTCTTCTTAGTTTTACTGGAGCCTACTCATCGCTATAATACGAAGTCGAATGATATTCGACAGTTGTATATGTCCACTTGTAAATTACTAGCTGATTCTATTATTGAAAAATTAATCTTGAACATTGGATAATCTATATAATTAATTAATTAAATTATTGTAATTCTATTTCATAGATATTTCATCATTAAGTGCTCGATTTTCACGTAATGGTTATTGTTGGCTTGTCTCAGGTCAAACAGCTTATGTTTGGCTTGCTTCTAGTTCAAATCGTATAACTGTAAATGAATAATTCTTCTTATAATTTTAATCATAAATTTATTTCTTAGGATGCTGTTATTCATCAAGAACTAAAATTACCTGAATGTGCACTTGGACAACAAGCAAATTTAATGGAATTATTTTCAATGAATGCTGATGATGGTGATTGTTGTTCATGTTTAGTTATAACATGTGATGGTTATGCTCGTTATTGGCGAACTATTGTACGACCAAATGATTATTATGATGTTAAACTTGAATTTGATCAAATAGAACTTTTATGTCATTTTAAAGTAATAATTCATAAACAATAATTTTCTTTGTTACATCAAGTTTCTTTCAGGATGATATTTGTGTTTGCGGTTCTTATTCAGGAAGATTATATACTATTCCATGTAATGCATTATGTAATAAGGTAAAATGTATAATATAAAAAAAGAATTTTATTTTTATAATGATATATAAATAGGCTTATATTCGTCCATCATCTTCATCATTACTTTCTTCGATTGGTTTTGGTTTAAAATCTATGTTGTTTGGTACAAGTCGTCAAATGAAAGATAATGAAATTCTTCGTTGTCTTCATTCATTAAAAAATGATACATCAACACAAACAACAATAACAATGAATGTTGATTTAATATCATTAACAGATAAACATTTATATTTTTGGTATTTAGCAGAAAATGATATTCAAGTAATATTAGTTGTTTTTTTGTGCGGTTCGATTGATAAATAAAAGTCGTTTTGGTTTTTTTTTCTGTTGATAGCTTGTACATTCTATTGATCTTCAAGAAATATTTGGTAATGAAGCAATAAAAGATCAAGTTTGTAATTGATTTAATTTATTAAATGATATAATAAAAGATTGTTTAAATTTAGAAATCAAATGAGAATCATCGACATATTTCATGTATTTCATTAAGTGTAACACAGTATGTCATATAGTATTGATTTAGAGAAATAATCTTAAAGAACTTTTTTTTTGTAGGGAAACAATTTATGTTCTTGCTGTTCATCATAGTACACAAGATTATCGGTTAATGTTGGGTAAAATTAATACGAGAAAAATTTATTTCAGTTTTTGCTGTTTGTGTTTTAATAGGTGTATTTTCAATAAATCATTCGGGTGTTCAACTTGTTTCATTTATTTTTCTTACTAATCATCTTAATATTCGTGTAAGTTTTAATCATTCAAATATTTGAATTAGGAAAGAAATTTTTGAAGAAATGTAACAAAACTTTTCAGAATTATAGTCGAATTTGATTTTGGAAAAAAATTTGTTTATTCTTGACGGTTAAGCTTCTGCATTATAATTTATAGTTTTCGCTGGTATTTTATAACAAACCAAAGCTCTGAAATTTAGGCTTTATACTTTTTTTCAGCATTAGAATCTACTACAAATGCATGCTGAAGAACGATCTATGACATATTTGAAGAACGATATTTAAATGGATATTTACCATTTAATGTGATCACATACTAGATAAAATCAGCAGGTCAATCTGTACTATGATCTGCGGTGGAGTAGCGTTAATTTGACTAAACATGAGTGGAATCAATTGTTTTGATCCTGGCTCCGGTCCTGATCACCAGCAATGTTCAAGAACTGAGAAATAGAAATTCCTAAGTTGTGAGAAACTCTCAACAGAGCTACGATAATTTCTCCAGGAGATGAGAGTTGACCATTAGTTCATTTTTTTCCAATAGTCTTCATATTTACACATTCATGTGTCGCAAGTTCCTTGATGAATATGACGGTCAAAGCAAAACATATCGTAGATAATGTGTTTTCTTAGTTTTAGCAATCATGAAACTGTGAATAGAATTAAGAAGAAACCCTTATCTCTTAAACCTTGAACATCCTTTCAAGTTTTACACGACCAAAAAAAGGCTTGATCCTGGGCCCGACAGTTAGGAGATCATTTTGCCAATTTGTAAGCTTGACACACTTGAGCAATGGGTTATCGTATTGTGAGCTCTCAACTAATACATCTATCACTGAATAGATAGCATCGCAGAAAAAAAAATTTTTATTCTTAATATTTTGTACTACTGATAATCGTTTATGCAATTATCAATATCGTTCAATTTACAACATAAAAGGTATTTTTTATTCTTTCAATTATTTCTTTTATGTACAGTTGGATGAGATTATTGTTAAACCACATGTACGAATATTTGCTGTACCAAATCAACCGGCAATATTAGTTCATTCAAAAAAAGATGCTTTTATTTATACAGGTAAGACATTTAATTGGTCTTTGTGTTCTTTTAATATTCGATTTTTTTTTGTGAATTGATAGGTCCTGATTATTCAGTCCTACTTCGCGCTAGTTTTTCAAATTTAAATGAAACAATATTAGGAAGTGGTTTATGTGCACAACGTTTACTAATATTTTGTCATGTACAAGGTTTAATAACACCTCGAGCTCAAGATTTAATGGCAACGTAAAACAAAAAGAAAATTTTAATATCAATTAACGTATATAATGTTGATGATTTTTTTTAGTTTTCTTTCAAAAACAACAGACAATGATCCATATCAACCAATGATAAATTCATTTCATGCATTTCTTATTCGAAATGATCCAGTAAAGATTTGTTTAATTGTATTGAATAGCAAAAATAATTTAAATACTAGGGTGGTGCTGTTGAATTATTTCGACGATTTTTTAATACAATTGATAAAAGTCAATTAGATGATATTGTTATACAATTTGGAATGTTTATTATTGATGATCCATGTTTACAAGGTTAGAAATAATATTTAAAATTCAATCTTTATTTAATTTTCATTTTAATTTAGAAACAAATGATTTAACAAGACAATTAGAAAAAAAAACTGATATTTATAATTATTATTTTTCATTTCTTAAATT